AGACGACATGGGGCTCTACCTTGACGGAGATAGCGGCTTCCGGCATCGTGCAGCTCTGAGGGCGCTACTCTGATGAGTACGTCGCTTGGGAGGGCAGGGGGAGGAAGGAAGGAGATCTCGAGGGAGACGAGCAAGCGGAGTTTGTTTCAACTTTGTTGGATGTGAAGGGTTCTCGAGAGTCAGACTAGAAGTGCAATCGTAAGGGCAGGAGCTCAGTCAGGAATGTCCAAGAGAGATGGGGTAGAGCAACGGAGGGTCGGAGGATGAGAGCGATAGAACCAAGCTCAGGGCAGGGGGCGGGGGACAGTCGTGGGGAAGCAGGGGAGCAAGGAGGCACCGTGGAACTTGAATCACCCCACCTCTTCATTTTCTTCACCCTACCTTTCTCTCATTGATACTTCGCAGAGTGTATGTACCCCCTACCCACCTATTTACTGCTTTATTCCTCTCTCAGCACCTGGTACTTCGACTCAATGTCAGAGCTCTGTCGACCCTCACCCCTGTTGTCTCTGTACCCCACCCCCTCACATCCATCTTCCCAATCTCCGCTCCACGGACGATGTGGTAAAGTTCGCCAATGATGACTTAGGATTTTTGCATGTGTGCGCGCATGCATAATCAGGGGTGAGCTGACTGGTGGCCTGTTGGGGTCATTTGATAGGTAGGTGCTCATTTGAACTAGCGTTTATTTTCGGGCGACTCCGTGACTACGTGGTAGGAAGGTAGAATCGTTATATATATTTATAATCTTCGAGATAAACCCAATACGGTACCTGCGGAGGAGGGTGGGGGTAGCAAGGATATCCATTGTCCTGCAAAAATGGCATTGTAGTTGTGGGGGGGCTGGGGGAGGAGAGGGGAGGGGTGGGTGGGTGGGTGGGGGTTCCTGACGGGGGTAGTCTGTGGGGTGAAGGTCCCCCCCGAGATCCAGTCAGCAGTTGGTCATGTACCACCGTAGATCTCCATGACTGTTAAAAAAACAAAAACATTTCAGATACTCTATCAAACTTTGAAGCTGAAGGATCAATTTTAATGGGAGAATTTCCTATTATTGATAACGAAATCGAGGACACCTCAAAACCGTAATGATCAATCTTAATGGTTTTGGTCAAAAATTCAATATTTGGAGTTACATTTCACTACTTTAACATTTCGCTCTGCAAGCGCGAAACGACGGGGCTGAAAATGACCGCAAGGGTACATATCTTACGGTTTCATCTAGATGCCTCAAATTTGAAACATACAGATTCTCAATTTCAAATGTACTCATGTTTGTCACGTGACCATGTGACCCGGGTGTTCGGATCTGCGTGACTGGCCATGACAAGCTCGAAGGATCTTTCAAACATTGTATGCCCCTGCCTGGGGTGGTCGCTGATTTACGTATGTCTCTCTATCCCAGGTGGTACCATGGAGGGTGGTGTAATAGCTCCATGGAGGGTGGTGTGATCATGAAGGGGGTCGGGTAGTCAGATCTTGATTACAGTTACCCTGCAGGGTGAAGGGGTAGGGGTTATCCTACCGGTGGTGGTAGCAGAGAAGATATGGTGGTAGTGGTCGGGTAACCTCTTCAACACGATGATCCCTTTCTGAGATGGGGGTAGTCTTGTTTTCAGGGGTGGTAGTAAGATTGAGTGAGGATGGGTGGGTAGTAGCAATATATGATAGTCGGGGAGTCCCTTGGTTGTAGGGCGCCTGTGAGGAGACGCTGTCGTCATATCCCTCCTATCTCCTTGTACTTCCTACCCTATCTCCTCCTCCTCTGGGAACTATCCTTCTCGCCTCGCCAATCTTGCGTTCTGATCCTCTCTGCTCCGTGTTTTCATCTAGACTCCTTCTGTGAACAAAGAGGGCTGCGAAGTCCGAGCACGACCAGGCTTGTTCGAGCATCACAAACACCGTGAAGAAGCAAACTAGTTGCGTGATTGTGCATTTAGGTGTCATATTGCTCAGCTAAAGACATATCCTGCGTGATACATGATGCCGGAAGCCGCTATCTCCGTCAAGGTAGAGCCCCATGTCGTCTACACCACAACTCCCCCCGACGACTTCACCGACATGAAGAACGAAGGATTGGATGGCACCAGCTCCCCCAAGCTTCCCAGCCAGTACAAGGTAGCCGTAGAGGAGCTCGCAGCGGGTAACAACAGCGAGAGCCAATCATGGGAAGGGAGGACGCGATGGGTCAAGGGCATCCTTGCAGCCATGTTCATGGGCCTTGTTTTCGGGGTAGTCATGGATCTGGGGAAGGTGACGCTACCGCTGGTGATCAGGGAGCAGTTTATCTTCAGGCGGGAGATCATGCTGAAGATGTTCTTGGGAGCGTCGGCGGGGTCGGCATACTGCATCGCGGGAGTGTCGCTCATCTTCCCCTTGCACTTTGAGAGGGCGCGCGAGGAGTTCATGAGCACACTGCAGTGCAAGGGGCTGATACCGATCATTCTGGGAGCTTTCATCCTGGGATGTGGCATGGCGTTGTCAGGGTCATGTCCAGGGATGGTGCTGGTACAAGTCGGAGCAGGCGTCCCTTACTCGTGGGTAACCCTTCTTGGGGGTCTTTCAGCAGCAGCTTTGTATGGGGTGGTGCAGCCCAAGATCGAGCCGTACCTCAAGGCAGGGAAGATGAAGTCACCGAAGTTCGAGGACTACGGGCCTCTGAAGAAGGTGCCTTTCTGGGGGCTTGCGCTTGCTCTGGCGGTCTGCATGACCATCTTCATCATCATCCTCGAAGTGTTTTTCCCGTGGAAGGAGGAGGTTCCAGCAGGGACGACGCCTTGGAAGTCAGTCCTTCCTCCAGAGCTTATGGGGGCGATCATCGGCTTCCTACAGGTCCCCGCGATTCTGCTCATCCAAGACACCCTGGGGAGCAGCTCGGCGTACATGACATACACCTCTCAACCCTTGACAGTGTGCAAGAACTGCCAAGAGGTGATGAAGCACCTGAACGGATACAGGACCGGGATCATCAACTGGTGGCAAGCCGTCTACCTGCTATCCGCCATCGGAGGAGCCGCGATCGCAGCCAACGCCGTAGGCACGTTCCGGGGGTTCCAGGGCGTGACGCCGGGAGAGGCGTTTGCAGGAGGCTTCTGCGCCATCTTCGGGAGCCGGCTTGCGTCGGGGTGCACGAGCGGGCATGGTCTATCGGGGGTCGCGCTGCTGTCACTGAAGTCGATGTTTGCCGTGCCGGCGATGTTTGCAGGAGGAATTGCGGTTGGTTTCTTGTATTTCTCCTCAGATCCTTACAACTACACGGGGAGGTTGTACTAACCGTTAATCAAATCAATGTTTAGTAAAATATGTTCAAGCCAAAGACCGCGATGAGTGAGTACAGTTGCCTCAGTCCCCTCGCCGACCGCCGACGGCGCGGCTCAGGCTCGACTGAGGGTCGACCGGGCCGCGCCGCCTCCGGCTAGTCGTCACCGGGCCGCCGCCGGGGCCGGACGGTCACTGAGTCATCTGTTGGGCCCGCCAGGTTGTCTTTAGAGTCAGATGGTTTGCTTACGTCCAGGACAGCAGCGAAGGGTAGGCTCGAATGCTATAGGAGGAGAAGGGACGAGCAGAGAAGAGAGGAGGAGGAGATAGTCAGAACCATAGCGGGGAAGGAGGAGAGGAGGTAGGAGGGAAGCTAGGAGGAAGAAGGGGAGGACAGAGAGATTGGGGTAAAAGGAAAGTGGAGGATAGGAATAGGCGGGAAAGACTTGTTTGAGTTTCGTTCCCAGGTGCTTTGGGATGTACAGGCAAGATCATGCAGAGGTGGAGAAGTAGCAGGTGGTGCTTCGTGTCTCTTGTGGTGAACTTGTCCAGAATGGCCTGTACAAGCAGGATGGAGGAATGCGAGAGGGTGGTGGACGTAGCGGTGGTAGGAGGGGGACTCTCCGGCCTGACCGTTGTGCATCGACTTGGAAGCAAGTGCTCGTGGGTGCTGGTTGAAGGAAGCAGCAGGCTGGGAGGAAGGCTCAAGAACAGTGAGAGCGGAGTGGACCTGGGAGGAGCATGGATTTGGCCAGAGTTCGGGCAGCGCAAAATAGCAGAGTTGCTGAGGGAGCTCAATATCGGCACATTCAGACAGCCCGACGACGAGTCGTCGACGAGGATAGCAGGAGGAGCGTACAAGGCGATCGAGGAGCTGGCCAAGAAGCTGCCGCAGGACAGGATCGTGATGAACTTCGATGTGACCAGTTGCGCAAAGGAGAAGAGGGAGCAGGGAGAGGACCGAGAGCTGGTGAAGATCTCGTCTTCGAGCGGGCAGTCTGTCCTTGCTCGCAGAGTTGTGTTTGCTGCCCCTCCAAGGATTTTGATCTCTCGCGTTCAGTTCGACCCTCCTCTCTCCAACTCTCGGCGCAGGGCCATGGAGGAGTGCAGGACATGGATGGCCGGCGTTACCAAGGTGAAGACTCCTTCTTCCATTCCTCTCTTCCTCCCTCTGTCTCCTCCTCCCCTTCTAATCTCGTCTTGCCTTCCTCTCTTCCTCTCTCTGTCTCCTCCTCCCCCTCTAATCTCGTCTTGCCTTGTTCTTGCTCCTTGTAACCTCCTCTCTCCCCCCCCTCATTTCCCCGCTACTCTCATCTATCCTGCCCCCGACCCCTGCTCTCACTCCCCCTCCACCTTGTCACCCTCGTTCAGGTCGCCTTGGAGTACGACAAGAGGGTCTGGTCTCTAGGTCGCGCATGCAATACAGGTCTTAGGGGAGGACCAGCTTTCCAGGCAAGCACCTCTTCCTCTTGTCCCCCACCCTCCTCCACCCCCTTCCTTCACTTCCTCTCCCTCCTCTTCCTCCTCTTCCTCTTCCTCTTCCTCCTCTTCCTCCTTTTCTTCCCTTCCCTAACCATCGTTCAGGTCTACGACGGCAGCACACATGGCGATAAGCTGATCGCCCTCACCTTCTTCGCGTTGGCCCCGAGGGACTTGAAGGAGGAGGAGCTCGCGCGCCTCTGCGTCGAACAGCTGAGAGGGTGGGGCCGCATGCAGCGGGCGTTGAGAGGAGGCGTAGAGAAGGGAGGGGAGGGGAGGGGAGGGGAGAGGAGGGGAGAGGATGTAAGGGCGTCTGCAGGCATTGGAAGATGATGGGGCTGCAGCAAGACTCCTCAGCGCTGCAGAAGTTCAAGCGAGTGACTGTGCAGCGATGGCCGGAGGAGGAGCTGATTAGCGACGAGATCGATCCGCAGCAGATTCATCCCCATCCTACTCCTTTCCCTCCTCTTGCCCGTAGCGACTGGGACGGAAAGCTCCTCTTCGCCTCCACTGTAAAATTCTCCCCCAGCCCCTCATCTCCCCTCCCCTGCCCTCCCCTGCCCTCCTCTCCTCTCCTCTCCTCTCCTCTCCTCTCCTCTCCTCTCCTCTCCTCCCTGCTCCTTCTTTCTCCACTACCACTGCTCCTTCCGAGCCTGGTCCCGCTACGTCCTCTCACCTGATCTTCCTGCTTCCTGCTGACAGCTCTCGCACAGGAAGCTGATCTCGAAAGCCCCGGAGTCATGGAAGGAGCTGTGGGAGCTGCCCTGAGAGTTTGCAAGGAGTTGGGATACTAAAGAAATGTGAGGAGGAGAGGAAGAGAAGAGGAAGTGGGGGGAGCAAGAGCACGAGACTGACTGAAACAAGTATCTTTCACAAGAAAGTTAACGCTGCTCCATCCACTCCTTCCCTCATCACTACTTCCCCGTTGAATCTCCGAATGTTGTAGGAGGTGTATCCTTCCCACCTAAAGGACAGTCAGAAATCCCTCCTCTCCCCTCCTCCTCCTCCTCCTCCCTCCTCCTCCCCTCCTCCTCCTCCCCTCCCTTGTCCTCCCTCGTACTCCTACTCTCTCCTCCTCTCCTCCTCCTCTTCCCCTTCACCTGCAAATTCCGGCAGTTCGCCATCGTCGAACTTCCAATTCCTCGCCTGATGTCAAGCCGTCAAAACAAGCCTCAAACATGAGAGAAGACCCGGGGAGAAAAGCTTAGGAAGTGGAGGAGACGAGGAGGAGAAGACGTGGAGGAGAAGACGTGGAGGAGGAGGAGGCAGGAGGCAGGAGGTAGGAGGCAGGAGCAGGAGCAGGAGCAGGAGCAGGAGCAGGAGCAGGAGCAGGAGCAGGAGCGGGAGCAGGAGCGGGAGGAGCAGGAGGAGGGGGAGGAGGAGGAGGAGGAGGATCGCGTACAGGGTCAGGTGAGTGTAGGGCCTCTGGTACGGAATTGAGTGTCTTGCTCCAACCATTCCCGAAGTCATAGTCCTTCCCTACTCAGAGTCAACCATTAGGAAATCCTCCGCCTCCTGCCCCTGCCCCCAATAGCTTCATCCTCGTCTTCCTCTTCGCCCTCTCCCCCCCCCCCTGCCTTGTCATTATCACCCTCCTTCTCATCCTCTCCTCCCGCTGTCCTACTGCCTGTCCTACCGATCACGCTGCTCTCCCCGTTGATTGTCTTCACATCATCGCCGATGCTTCCCTCGTTGTGCTGCAGCAGCCGTCAGCTTCCCCCCTCCCTCCCACCTCCGAAGGCACCTCCTCTCCTCCTCTCCTCTTCTCCTCCTCTCCTCTTCTCCTCCTCTTCTCCTCCTCTTCTCCTCTCCTCCTCGTCCCCCCTTCCTCTGCCCCCTTCCCTCTCCATGCGCCAGCACCTGCCACTGAATTCCTTTGCCTCCGATGTCGACGACGTTCATGTCATAGGGAGGATCCTGAGTGTAGACCGAGTCTGGGACCTGACGAGAACATGAGAGGAGGGAGGGAGGAGGGAGGGAGAAGGGAGGAAGGAGGGGTCCAACCTGCAGTCTCTTGTTGGGGTTGTGACCGTACTCGTAAGCAGCTTTGCTGTGGTCCGTCCAAGGCTTAATGATGCTGTCGGCCTTGCTGGAGATCTGCGAAGTGTGAGAAGTGAGCGAGAGCGAGGTGGAGGAGCGGGTGAAGAGAAAGCTTTACTTCTCTCTCGGGGAGAGGAGGAGAGGAGAAGAAGGAAGGAGAGGAAGAGAGAAGAAGAGAGGTGCGGGAGGGAACAGGAAGGAGGAGGGGATACAAGAGAAGGAAATGCTTCTACCTCATCGTCATAGTCCTTTCCATGGTAGTCGTACTTCCTCCACTCCTTGTTCTTGTTCTTCGAGTACCTATACCCCTCTCTTAGCTCCTGTCCCTCCTACTCCTCTGCATATTCCCCTTCCTGACTCCCCTCCTCTCCCCCTCTCCCTCCCTCCCCCTCCTCTCCCTCCTCCTACCACTTCTTGTCGAAGCTTTCCAGTGGGTTTCGCTCTTTCCTGAACTTGCCGTTGGATGCAGAATAACCCAGCAATCGTCCCTGAGAGAAAGAGAGAGGAGAGGAGGGAGAGGTAGGGAGAGAAGAGGAGAGGAGGGGATAAGAGGGGCGAGGAGAAGAAGGGGCAGGACAGAGGAGTCGGCATCGTCAGTGTCCTGCCATGTTCCCACACTCTCTTTACATGTACGGTTCTTCCTCCCGTAAGTTTCAACCCCTTGATGTCGCCGAAGCCGCCGGGGAGGAAAAATCTGCAACGAGTCAGAGAGGGGGAGGGAGGGGGAGGCGGGGGCTGAGCAGACCCTTGAGTAAGAAGGGAGTAGTCAGAGGCGGCCGGGCTCCAGATGAGAGGTCCGTTCCCTACATGCGACATCAACGAGCGAGAAGGGAGGGGAGACGAGGAGGAGGAGGGAGAGGTGAGAAGATGAGAGAGTGTGTGGTGGTAGTGGTGTTGGAGGAAGCGGTGGTGACTGTGGACGAGGAAGGGGTCGAGGAGACGAGGAGGAGGAGGAGGAGGAGGAGGAGGAAGAGGAGGAAGAGGAGGAAGAGGAGGAGGAGGAGGAGGAGGATTCATACCTGAGTAAGTGATCTGTGCAGGGTTCTGGGGAGGAGGAATCAGCACGATTCTTCCTCCAGACGAGAGTTCGGGGCCCATGGGGTCAGAGAGATTGACGTTGTAGTGGTTGTCTGGCCCACGGTAGAGGAGCACGAGCACCTAGCAGAGGATCAGAACCTCCTCCTCCTCCTCCCTCGCTCTCTCTCCCTCTTCCTCTTCCTCCTCTCCCTCCTCCTCTAGCTTCTCCTCGCTTCCCTCCTTCCTGCTTCTTCCCACCTGCCCCCCTGTCTGCTTCTCATAGCGGGAGTTGGCAGTCCCAGCCTGTGTTGGCCCTTGCACTGTCAAGACTTTCAGCCCCGCACGCCCTCCCAGTCCAGCTGAGACAGACCTGAGTTTTGAAACCAGGTCAAAGTCACTTCGTGGTAGCCCGCCGGGAGTTTGACAAGCGCGCTGGTCACGACGAAGGGGTCAACCTCCCCCGTCTCATTCAGCACCTGCACCCTCGTGAGCTCTGGAGGGCGGAGGTTGTCAAACATTTGACAACCAGGATGTCATCGATAATCAGGCTGGCGCCGTCGTCGCTGGCCACGTCAAACTGATAGCGACCGGCATGCTGGGAAAGGTCAAGGTCAGCAAGCGTAGTGAAGAGGAGAACTTTGACAACCTCGGTCTTGACTAGACCCTGACAGACAGCAGCAACGTGGTAGCTGAGAAAGTCTTCCTCGCCCTGCAATGACGTCATTGCCTTGCCCTACCAGCCCCCAGCTGATCTTCACCTCTTCGCGGACGATTGACCACAGCTCGTCGTGGCTCGAGATGTTGATTGTGTCCAACCTGGACAGAGGGGTCAAACCTTCATCCACCCCCGTCATCCACCCTTCTCCCATCCCCCTAGGAACTTTCATCTACCCCCCTCCCGTCCCGATGATAAGGAGCAGGACCTGACGGCTGCGCAGGGAGTTTCGTTCAGCAGCTGGTGGGCCGGCGGGAGCTCAACGATGGGACTGAGAGACAAGGAGCAGGTCACCATCCTCTCCTCCCTCCTTCCCTCACTCACTCCTCGTAGCATATGAAACGGCAACCCCAGCCATGCTGCACCTTCCCGTCTGGAACTGACCCCTCCAAGTCAGATTCTCCTCCTCCTTCACTCCTCCCGTACTTTCGCCCTTGGGCTTGGTGGACTTTCCGTCCGTCCAGTGGCGCCCGACAAGAGGTACCTGCCAAGAGCCTCACAATGCTCCAAAGCAGCTGCCTCTGTCCGTCCACAATTCCGTCCCACCTTCACCTACACTTCCCAGCTCTCCCTTCTGCATCCCCAACTTGCTCTGCTCCTCTTCTCACCTCTCCTCCTGTCCCTGTTCCATTCCAAGTGACGATCAGCCGCGGAACGCTCACACCTGCACCTGCATGCAGAGGGTCAGGAGTCCCCATCCTCCACCTCGTCCTTCTCCTCCTGCACTCGTCGCTCACCATCAGCGCTAGGATGCCAGAAGGCAACCACGGTCGCCATCCCTTCAGAGAGGGTGACAACACCTGGGCACGCGATCAGGCCACCGGCAGCTTCTGATTGCAAGCTCACCGCTCTCAACTCCTTCAGAAACTCCAGAGAGCTCCTGTACACGCACATCATCACAGGCGGAGCAAGACGACAGACGTCGGCAGGTCCCACCACGCTAGCTCCCGTCTTAGAGTCGGTCACGTTGATCACCGCCCCTCCAGTTGTGTTGAGGAAGATCGTGTAGTCACCGTCTGCAGGGACTTTGACTTGGCCGACCATGAGGACCACGAGGTCATCGAGCTTGCACGTGCGTCAGGCAGGAGCAAGCAGAATGAGGATCTCACGTCGTCGGATCCCTCGGGTGGGAAGGTGTCGCCCTTCAGCAGCTTCTCCTGGATGGAGGAGTAGTTGACAAAGTTGATGTACTTGGTCGTCCCTTCCGCCTCCGGCTTGAACAGCTTCACGAGGTTCTTCTGGTCGTAACGAACGTCGGCATTCCACCACCTTTGACGGCAGTCAACTACCCTCGGAGGCTCTCAACTCCCTCCGCACTCACACAAGCAGTTTGAATCCATCGTCGAAGTGACGAGTGACCAACAGGCCGCTCTGAGAGTTATACTCCACGTAGGCGTTCTCTAGCATCTGCCTGAGCGCTAACATCTTCTGCTTCAAAGACTGCCAAGAAGAAGGGCAACTTGCTCGTTAGAGATCACGAGAACGGGTGGGAGAGGTGCAGACCTCAGTCGTACTTGATACCATCTTCACAGCAAGAGATTTGCTATCTCTCTCGGACGGCTGTCATGAATCCCATGTGAATGAAGCGATGGAGTTGAAAATGCACACTGACCGCACTCGTGGCGATCAGCAGGGAAACCAACAAGATCGCCAGGACCGTCGATCCCACAGCGACCAAGGGGCGAATTCTTTTGGCAGAGGTGCCTCCATCTGGCAAGACAAGAGTGATCAAGAGCACATGCGAGCTGCGACTAGTCATGGCAGAGTTGGAGATGCGAATAGATAGGTCTGATTGAAGGGGCTGCTGAGGGAGCTAGGAAGAGATTGACAGAAAGAGGGAGAGGGCAGACAAGCAGACAAGCAAAGCTGCTGTCTGTTAGGCGACACTTACGTAGGAGTTGTGCCTGCCCAACGAAGATTAGAATTGCATGTCAGGAACAATTTTTCGCTCATTCTTCAAGTTCTCATCTCCATGGTGCATCACGAGTTTTATCAAGTGAATCCTAGCTCGATCCAGCCAACTTATCATACCGTGTCCTCTCGAAGCATATTCAACAGTTCTGCCTTCCTGAAACAAGGAATCTCCACAACTCGTTCAAGCTATAATCTCATTGCACACTTGTACTCTACCGCTTGCTACATATTCACAAGATCATCTTGGACGAAGAGACCGACTCATCGCATCCTGTCAGCTCTACGCGCCTCTCCCCTGCTCTGTTCGACCGCATCCTCCTCCCATTGACTCACCTCCCGGCTGCATACTGCGCCGTACGCCTCCGCCATAGCGCCAAGACCCAAAATAGTGTTTTGGCACATGGATGTTAGGGTGGGTGGCTCGATATTGGGGGGTAGGGGTGTGAGGATATTGGGGCGGCAACGATTGGAAAGGGGTAGGGGTGAACAGGTCAGGGTGAAAATGAACCTAATTTGATGGGGTAGGTAAATCAAAGGGGTGGGTGTACAGTTTTAGACCCACAAATCTTATTTTTGTATGGCGAATAGGGGGTAGGGGTGTAAACGGATTGCTAGGGTGGGTAGCAGCAACCAACCCACCTCAGAGTAGAAACTTACTAGACCCCATAGTCCCAAAGTGGCTCTATTTCTCGACTTGCATGGTGAAAGGCGGGGGGAGGGGGTGGGTTAGGGTGGGGGGTAGGGGTGATTTGACGTGCCTGGTCAACGGAAGATGAGAAATGAACGGGAAGTGAAGGAGGTAGGGGGAGGAGCGAGGAGGAGCGAAGAACAGTAGCGAGCAGCAGCACACGATCAGACTCGGAGGCCCATGGAGCGAAGGCTTCAGCTAGTTGTTTACCTCTGCTTGCACCTTGGGAAGATCCTCCCAGTCCATGCGGGGTGAAGCTTTCTGTTATATTACTCGCAAGGCTAAGAGAGCTTGCAGGACATGCGTCGTCCCTCCCCCCGGCATCCTTGAGTTCTGCTCCATCACTTACCCGGTAGGAGGAGAGCGTCGGCACGAGGGGATAAGAGAGGTCCAGGTTTACGTCGTGCAGTCAGAGCTCGATCCCCAGGAGTTCCTCAACTTGGACAGGTGATAAAGCGACTTGCTCGTACCCCCGCTGAAGAGGTGGCAGGGGCGCGGAGAGGTTTGCGTATACGCTGTAAGGAAGACATGGAGCAGTAGAGGGGCTCATGTTGCTGCTGCAGCTTCTCGCGTTACGGATGCGATTCCCTTGCTCAAAACTCTGCTTGCCTGCCCTACGTCTGTGCCAACTACTTCCCGAAATGCAGCTCCGACGGGAACGTGCCGATGAAGGTAGGGAGGAGTATGGGAGCGGCAGTGAGAGCTGACATGGTTCGCCTTGCAGGTATGTCGGAGTGAATGTGTACGGTGCCTGTCTACCTGCCGGTACGAGCGAACGATCCTACCGCCGGTACCGAGAATTTTGCTTCCTCTCCCTAGATCTGATCGCCTTCGAACATGTCAGGGGATGTTTCTCAACTACGACGACCTGATGAACATCGGCAAGAGGACCATGACGACGGTAAAGAAGCGACGCTCTTCCTTATCTCAAGGATGCATGCACATAGGATCCGATGCAGTCCATCACCTTCGACGAGCAGTACCCGACATACAAGTGTAGAGCTGATCGAAATGTCAGAGCTGATCATGTGGGGAGGAGGGTCTGACTTGCTGGCCTGCAGCTGGTTGGACCTGAGAAGGAGTCTTACTTCTACCAGTTGACTGGCTTTGGCAACCAGAGGAAATGCACGTCCGGAGCGCGCGGGTGAGAGAAGTTAAATTTTTCTCCTTATGTGATCACAAGCAAGCAGATCGTCATCGAGCTCTTCTTGTCTTCTCGTTGTCTTAGCCTGTCTTAGCGCATTAGCAGCTTTATGCAATCTATGAATCATGTCATGTAACTGAGCTAAAAGTACACGCGTCTCATGTCAACCGTCACCTCTTCGACTTCCCGGGCCCTCGTTGTTTCATCTCCTCGGGGAAGGCTACCTTTCCAAAGTGCTTCGTGGTGGTGGTGGTGGCGTCCGTGCTCCAGTCAAGCAGCGTGTACCTGAGGTTTGGAATGTCGCAAACGCAGGCCGGAAGTTCTTCGAAGTTGTTGTTTTGCAGCCAAAGTTCGGTGAGGTTAGTCAGCCGTGAAGAAGTTTGCGGCAGCATGTCAGGGACAAGGTGGTTCCCAGCTACCGACAAGACAGCTAGGTTGACAAGGGACGTGACCTCCTGGGGGATGCCTTGGGCTTCGACGAGGACGTCGCCAACCTTATTCTGCTGTGGTTGACCGAAACGATTGTTGTGGAGGTAAAGCTCTCGCAAGGAGGTGAGACTGGAGAAGCTGCTGCAAAGCTGATGGAGATGGTTGTTGTCAAGATACAACTCAACCAACCTCGTCAAGAGCCCGAAGCTCTCAGGAAGCCTCGTCAGCAAGTTGTTATCAAACCAGCAGTATTCCAGCGCCTCCAACCCTCCAATGTCCTCAGGGAGCTCGACCAGCTTGTTGTGGTTGACGGAGAGCTTGTACAAGTTCTTCAGCAGGCCGAACTCCGATGGCAGCGATGGGATCTTGTTCGTGGAAAGATTCAATACGGTCAGTGACGTGCATTCCGCCAGGGACTTGTCGATGTTGTCAAGCTCGTTGTTCTCAACCCTGAGCTGCTCGAGGCTGCTGGAGAGGTTTACAATGTCTGGATGGATCTGCGCGATCTTGTTGTTGTCTGCTACCAGGCTCCTGAGGCTCCCGATCTTGCCCAGCTCCGAGCTGAGCTCGCTCAGGGAGTTGTTGGAGATGTTGAGGTAGGTGAGGTTTCGTATGAAGACGATCGTCTCGGGGATCTCAAGCAGCTCGTTGTGGTTGATCATCAGCCGCTGCAGGTACCGGAGCTTCTTCAGGGAGGGAGGCAGACGCGACAGGCCGTTGCCGTAGATCCCCAGCGCCGTCAGGGCGACGCAGGAGCCCAGCTGGGGGGGGATGGAGGTGATGGCGTTCCTGCCGAAGTTGAGGGAGTTGAGGCGCTCGAGGTTGCCGATCATGGGGTGGAGCGATGTGAGGAGATTCTCTTGCAGCCAGAGCTGCTCCAGGAGGATGCAGCCCTCCAGCACGCTCGAGAGCGTGACGAGCTTGTTCCTGCTGGCCGACAGTACCCTCAGGCTGGTGAAGTTCCGCACACAGTCGGGTATCAGCTTGAACTCGTTCCTGCTGATCTTCAGAACCCTGAGGCTAGTCAAGGCGCTGAAGTGATTCGGAAAGTAGGAGATCCGGTTGCCCACGATGTCCAGGTTGGTGAGGCTTCTCAGCTTGCCCAGCTCGGGGGGCAGCAGGGTCAGGGTGTTGTAGGACAGGCGGAGGCTGAGGAGGTTCCTAAGAGCAGAGACTTGGGGAGCGATTGAGGAGATGAGGTTGTAGGAGAGATCGAGGCTCTCCACGTACTTGTGCGCTCCTCCGCTCAACACCTCCGTCAAGGTCTCCCCTCCATCGTCGCTGTCGCTGTCGCTCTCCTCCACCTCCCCTTCCTCCGCCGGATAGTAAACCACGTCCTCAGTCCAGTCGAACTGCTCTGCCTCGCTCCCGCTGCCGGCCTCAATCTCCTCCTCCGACCCCTCGCTGTAGGACTCGTTGGGATTGTCGTCGCTCCACTCGGCCTCGGGCCCATGCTTCCTCCTCACCTTGATGTTGTACCATCCCGACCTCGACGCCTTTCTCCCTCCCTTGTGTCTCCGTTTCTGCCCCCGGCTCGTCCCCAACTCATGACACTTGGTCCCTAGCGCGATGCAAGACTTGCAAGGATGCTCCACCTCAGGGGGCCCGTAGCGCAGCACCAGCTGGTCGTAGAGGTCGATCTCCGAGGGGACCCGCCTCGCGTCCTCGTCCCGCCTCCTGTTCTCCTTCATCTCCTCCACCGACTGATACCCGATGGCGAAGGCGTACCACTCCTTGAACGACTCGTAGACCTCCTCCAGCGACCTCAGCCTGTCTGCCCGCCTGAAACTTTGACCCGTCCCAACGTCGATGATCGCGTCCTCGCAGAACTCCTCCAGCGCATTCCAGGAGCTGTCGCGCTCGTCAAACTCGCCCTCAAAGTCAAGGTCGAGCCCCAGCGTCCTCCTCTGCTCGATCTCCTGCCGCTTCCTGTCCTCCGCAGCCTGTCGCTTCATCTTCGCATTGGTCTCGCTCTTCAAGATCCTCAGGTAGTTGTCGATCCCAAACCTCGTCCACCCTTCGGGTCTGTCCAGCCGCATCACATCAACGGGGAAGGTCAGCAGGTCAAAGTTGCTCAGGTCCACGTGCGCCGTCAGCCTGCCCTTCTTCACCTCCTGCACGAAGTCCATTGCAAGCAGGCACCCGTACTTGTGAACTTCGGGAGGGACGTCGCAGAGGAAGTTGCCGTTGACGGAGAACTCTCTCAAGCCCGAGAGGCGGTAGATCCGGTCGGGGAGGGCGACCAGCAGGTTCTTGGAGCAGCTGAGAACCTTGAGAGTGGTCATGTCGCACAGCTCGTCGGGCAGGAGGGCGAGGGAGTTGTTATCCAACCGCAGGGTCAAGAGGTTTGACAAACGTGTGATCTCGGGGGGGACGAACTCGATCCTGTTGTTCCTCAGGTAGCACTCGGTGACGTTGGTGAGGTCGAGAAACTCTCGCGGGAAGCGCCGGTAGGCTCCTCCTTCGAACCTCACCACGTCTCTCCGCTGAGCCGTGTACAAGCAGAGGAAGAAGCCGAGGATGGCGTTGCTGCCCTGATTGACGATCTCGCGTGAGGGCGAGTAGAGGTCGAGGTTTCTGATCAGCATGATGCGCTTGAGGGCCCGGCAGTAGGAGAGCTCCATCGGCAGAGTCTTGAGCCGGTTCTGCTCCAAGTCCAGCTCCTCCAGCTTCGTCAGCCTGCCGATCTCCCCGGGGAGTTTGACGAGAAAGTTGCCCGAGAGGTTGAGGTAGGTCAGGTGCGTGAGCTTGCAGACCTCAAGGGGCAGGGAGTAGAACCTGCGGCTGCTGTCTTGGACCTCCATGATCCAAAATCGCTTCCTAGATAAGTCCAGCGACAAGGAGGTCTTGCTCTGCAGCGTCAGTCGAAGATACTTCCATACAGCATCCGGGCCGCTGCACAACACTTCACATGGAGGATACTTGACTCCATGCCCAGAGATTGGCTTCCAAGCGAACAAATCCTTCTTCCAAGACGTGTAATAATCCAGATAGTTGAGATAGACTCGCAAGTTTCGAAGTGACCTGCGTCATGCAAGTCAGAGCAAGCGAATCTGAAGTGAAACGACGTAGTCCTACCTGCACCCGAGAAATGATTCAGCGTTGCAGACTGTGACTGGATTGTCTTCAAGAAGCAACTCCTGGAGGTTCGAAAGTGTTGCGAATGCATCTGGTATCACTTTGACTTGGTTCTGATTCAGATTCAGCAGTTTCATTCTGTTCAAAGTAGACACCAAGTCTGGTATCAGCGGAAGTTGGTTGTGATGTAGCGAGAGGCGCACAAGCTTGGTGAGTTGAAAAAGACCTTCAAGATCATTCGTCAAGCTTTGAACCGCAAACAAGTCAAACAAGAAATCAAACCTTTAGGGAGGCGGATAAGGCGATTGTTGCAGATTGACAGATCGACGAGACATTCACTCAGGTTTTTGATTTGTTCGGGCAAAGTCTCCAAGGCGTTACCATCGAGATTCAAGAACGCAACATTGTTGTACGACTCTATGCAGTCAGGGATTGACGTGAACTTGTTCTTTGAAAGGTTTAGGGAGGTGAGATTTATCAAGAAGTTCCCATCGAGAGGAAACGACCTCAGGTCCCAGTTGCTGAGCAGAAGGGAGTCAGAGAAGCTCGCAGAATGGAGAGAAGCGAGGTAAGAGAACATGCTCTTGACGCCGTCGACCAAAGACTCTGGAGGAGGGACTATGAGATGCTGGGGAGATACCTCCAGTGACACGATCCTGGTGCAGAGACTGATTTGAGGCGGCAGGACAGCAACTTGATTGTCTGTCAATCTGATGGAGGTGATGGCCGTTAGCCTGGCGATTTCCAGGGGAAGGAAGGTGAGCAGGTTGCTGTCGAGGTTGAGCGACTTGAGACGAGAGAGGAAGGCGAAGGACTTGGGCAGGACGACGAGCCTGTTGGAGGCGAAGCTGAGCGATACAAGGTGGACAAGCTGCCCGAATTTGGAGGGAAGCGACTTGACTTCGTTGTTGTTCATGGATAGCGACTTCAATGTCGTCCACTTGCACAAGCGAGGAGGTATCTCAGCGATGGAGTTGTGATCAGCATTGAACTTCTGAATGGACCTCAACACGATGTTGGGCAGGTTCACGATGTTGTTTTGAGACACATCCAACTCTTTCAGGCTCCCGAAGTATTTCAGGGAGTGCGGGAGAGCCTGCAGTCGGTTCTGCTTGACGGAGAGCAAGGCAAGCTTTCTGAGCGATGAGAAGGACTCGGGTATCGACGGGATGTTGTTGTGATCTAGAGTCAGAGACTTCAGCTGGGTGCCAAGATCCTCCAGCTCGAGTGGGAACTTCTTGAAGGAGTAGCTGGACAAGTCAAGCTTGTCTTCTCGCTGCAAGCAGACCAGCAGCAGCTCTTTCATGTACTGGATGAGGCCCGACGCTGACAGCTCCCGCACTTCACTCGCAGGTCTCGTGAGCTTAAGCCCCTCTATGCCCAGGTGCCTGAGGTTGGTGAGGCGACCGATGGTGATGGGCATGTCGGTGAACTTGTTGTAGGAGAGGTTGAGCTTGGAGAGCTGAGTCAAGGAGCAGACCACCAGCGGGAACTCTTTTAGGATGTTCTCCGACAGGTTGAGATCTTCAAGGCCGCTCAGGTTGACAAGTTGCTGCCGCATCACGCCGATCCTGTTGTTTGACAGGTCCAGACGCGTGAGGGTCAAGAGCCTGCAGACCTCAGTCGGGATCTCGTACAAGCTCAGACCAGACACGTCCAGTGAGTTGGATGAGATGGCGGCATGGCAGCTCTCCAGGTAGTTGAGGATCGGGCCGGGGCCTTTGCGGAGGATCTCGACCGGAGGCTCTCGGATGGGGTTTGAGTCTATGTTGAACTTGGCGAGGTCCAGCAGCCTCCCCAGTGCGAACGGAAGGCTGCTGATGTTGTTGACGGACACGTCGAGCACCGAGAGCTCAGCCAAGAGGCTCAGGTGCTCGGGGAGCCTGGTGAGAGCATTCTTAGACACTGACAACACCTCGAGCTCCGTCAAGTAGCAGACGCCGTTGGGCAGCTGCTGCAAGTTGTTGTTGTCCAGTCTCAGGACCCTCAGGGCCCTGAGCTTCGAGATCTCCGTTGGGATCTCTTTCAGCAGGTTCCCTCGCAGCTCCATCCTAGTGAGCAGCTGCAGCCTCGCCCGGTCCCACGGGGGCTTCCCGGCCTCCCCAAGGAGGAAGTTCAAGTGCTCGAGGCGATTCATGTTCGCTGACAGGACCATCAGGTCGTCCATCTGCAGGACCTCCGAGTCGATCTCGACTATGTCGTTCTTGTCGATAAGCAGCTCTTGCAGCCCTATCGTCTTCCACGCGTCCTTTGGTATCTCCCCCAGCTGCATCCCCTTCAGCCCCAGCCTTCCCACCTCGCCTGCCTCGAGCATCCTCCTTAGGAAGATGAGCGTCTTCTGCACCCCCAGAGACAAGATGTGCTGAGACGGGATGACTATCATGCTCGCGTCCAGAACGAGCTCGCGGATGCCCTTGCACAGCCCCAGCGCCATCGGCAGCCGTCGGATCCTGTTGTTGGAGATGTTGAGGAGCCGCAGGTTAGTCAAGTTTCCGATTTCATCGGGAAGGTTCACGATCTTGTTGTGTGAGATGTCGAGGTTGCGGAGAGACGTCAAAGAGCAGACGCTAGTCTTGAGGTCCAGCAGCTCGTTCTTCGAGAGGTCGAGCGAGTCAAGCCACGTCAGCGAGACTAGCTGGTTGGGCAGGTCCTGCATTCCCAGGTTGGACGCCACGAACTTGTTGGACTTTTTGCTGTCGTACATGGCCTTCCAAAAGTTGAGCAGCACCCCCTCGCCTGCAGACGTCAAGTTGACAGGCACACCTTTCAGCATGTTTCCGTCAAAGTTCGCGCGGGTAAGCTTCATCAGAGCCCCCAGCTGCAGAGGGATGTCCTCTATCAGGTTGTTGGACACGTCGATGTCGCGCAGCTCCTTGAGGTTCTCGATCGAGTCTGAGATCTCAGAGATCTTGTTGCTGGACAGTAGCAGGCGCCGCAGTGAGGAGCACTGAAAGACGTCCCGAGGGATCGATTCGAACCTATTCCTGCTCAGGTTCAGCTCCTCCAGTAGCTGCAGGTTGAAGAAGAGAGGAGGAAGCTTCTCCAGCAGGTTGTTCGCCAGCTGCAAGACTTTGAGCTGCGACACAGCTACGACTACCTTGTTGAGAGTCGACAGTCTGTTGTTGCTCAGGTTCAACAGCTCAAGGGACTGACAGGGTTGGCCTGCCTTCCACTCCATCCCCTCATCGATCTTGAAGTCTTCGTTGTTGGTCGCACCAAACTCGGACCGCTTCTCCACCATCACTCCCTCGTCCCCCAAGCACACGACGATGGGGAACGAGGAGAAGGCGTTGTCATCGAGCTTGAGATCGCGCAGACCTCGCAGCCGGGTGATGGTTTCAGGAACTTCGCTCAGTCTGTTCTTGCTGGAGATGAGCTGCTGCAGGTTTGTCATCAGCTCCAGCATGCTGCCCAGCGAGACAATCTTGTTGCTGCTCAAGTCCAGGGAGGTCAAGTGGCTCCAGGGCCCCCCGGCGTCCGGGAGGGTCTGGAGCACATGGAGCTGATGGCTGCAAACAGCCACGTGGAAGAAGTCAACGGCCGTCAGGCTCAGCCCGGACAGGTTGACCTGCCCCAACGCCTCTCCGATCACAAGGGCATGCAAGAACTGCAGGACAGCGCTCGCGCCTCGGGAATAGATTTCCTTGGGCGGCAGCGACATGCTGAGGTTCTTCTCCAGCGAGATGCTCTTGAGCTGTGTGGCTCGTCCCAACCCGATGGGGATCGAAGTGATCTGATTGCTCTTCAGCGACAGGTCTGTCAGGCTCGTCAGGTACCCCAGCCCCTGCGTCAACCTTCCTTCCAGGTTGCTCTTGTCAATCCAGAGCTTGCGGAGCTGCGAGAGGGAGGAGATGGAGTAGGGAAGCTCGGATATCTCGCTGTTGTTGGAGAGGTCGAGCTCCGTCAGGAAGGAACCCGTCCATGTGATCTCACTCGGAAACCCTCGCAGCTTGAACTTGACCAGGTTCAGACTGCAGCTTGTCAACGCCATCCCGTATCGCTGCATGTACTCCGACACCTTTGCTGGCCCCTGCACGATGACGTAGGCAGGAGGGACCGCGATGTCCGGGTTGTCTTTAAGGTCGAGGCTCTTCAGCTTGTTGCATCTTCCGATCTCAAGTGGAATCTGCGTCAATCGGTTGTTGGACAGCGACAGGACCTGCAAGCTCTGGCAGTGTCCCAGGTCCCTCGGGATGTACCGAATCTGATTTCCATGCAGCGCGAGGATAGAGAGGCAGGAGAGTTTTCCTAGGTCAGGAGGAACATCATGCAACTTGTTTTCTTGCAGGTACAAGATGGCGAGATTCGGAAAGTTTCCAATCTCAGACGGCAGCGTTTCGATGTAGTTGTTCTGCAAGAATATCTTCTTGAGATTCTTGAAGTTCAAGATTTCCTCGGGGAACTTGCTCAATCGACAAGCATGCGCATCAAAGACGCCGCTGTCTGACGCATTGTCCACTCGCTTCTTCCATTCTTGTGCGGACAAGCTCGCACCCGCCTCTCCCGCTGCCTCCGTTTCTTGAGACATAATGCCTCAATCAGCCTGTCAGCACCTGCTAAGATGAGCGCCTTCCCCTCCTCCTCCTCCTCCTCCTCCTCCTCCTCCTCCTCCTCCTCCTCCTCCTCGTCTGACGTGCATGTTGGCAGGGTATGAGGGAGGCGGTCGCCATGGATCGCACGCAGGAGAATCTACCAGTACCATTGCGAGCAGAACGGCTCGGAGCTCACCTCAGAGTGAATGTGCTGCATGAGGGTTTCGATTGAGAAGGGGTAGAACTAATGGGATTGGAGGGGGTGGGGTAAGGTGGTAGCGACGTAACATGAGCGAGGTATGCACGACCTGAGGGTGGGAGGGTGGGAGGAGGAGGAGGCGGTGGGGCAGAGGGCAGAGAGAGACGGGGGAGACAGAACTGCTGAGATGGTTAGAGGGAGAGATAGAGCAGAATGCAGGAGGAATAGTTCCTTGTGCTATGCGATGGGGAGGGGACAGGAACGCAAGCCAGTAAGATGGGGGGGGGGGGCATTGGGGAGCGGGGGTAGCAGCAGGTGCAAGGGAAGTAGGATAATTATATGAGGGATGAGCAGAAGAGAGATCAAGATCAGGAATAGGTAGAGCGATGTCGGGTAGGTGATCTTAGGCAAGGAACCGTGTCACCCTTCACTTCACCGTGGCGCAAACAAAGCGAAACAATCAGTGAGGTTGAGAATAGCTTCAGCACCAAGATTTGAAGCTTTTTTCATCTATGATTTGCCTGATTGTTTTGTAGGACGGAGCGAAGTTGATGTCGGCGTTCCAGAACACGGGGATCACCCCCCAATACTCCCCAGAGCCAAGTTTCGACGTGGGGTACGAGGAGGAGCTCTCGCCCGTGGAGCTGGTGGCTGCTGCTTCCGTCGAGCTCTTGTTCGAGTTCATCTCCAAGTACGTGACCCTCGGCTCGCTCTACAGCCTCTCTCAGCCTCTCCTTGTCCTCAAGACAAGGATCCAGTACCGCACAGTTCAATCAGCGCCGACCCCCCGGATCCAGGAGTTGGATGATGAAGGAAACGAGGTCGTGCAAGAGCAGAGGCCGCTTCCCCCGATCTCATGGAGAAGAATCCGGCATGACGAGGGGAATGGTGCGCTCTGGAATGGCCTGCACGCTAGGGTCCTCCATCAAGCATTATGGCGTGCAGGATCTATCAGCATGATGGAGGTAAGCCGTCGATGACTTTGGTTGCTTGTGTGCTCCAGGACACTAGTGTGCTTTGCCCCGTGCTTCTCACTCTCTCTCTGTGTTCACAACCAGAGTGGCAAGTCTCTCACGTGTGCTTCAGATACTCCTTGCCTTTCCAGGCAACAACGTCATAGGGATTTTAGCCAAGTCGGTTTCTTCCATCATGCTCTTTGCCTCCCTCACCCATCCGCTCGACGTTGTCTCTCACCGAATGATGGCCGGGTAGCCTTAGAGTTCTTGCTGACAGCACGTGAAGTTTTCTTAGATGTGCTGGTTATACGAACTGTGGCGTTTACCAAGGGCTTGTAACAGCACTGAAAGAAGACACGGCTTACGAAGGTCAGTGGAGAACCAATGGCCAACATGTCTTGATTGCATGTCATTTCATGTGATTTGATATGTTTTGATGCGATCGACTATGTTTTGATCTATTTTGATGCGATTTCACGTTCGACTATGAGGGCCCGGCGTGACGTCCATTCTGTAACAGGGCTCAACACCCAGCTGCTTCTCAGCACTTTGTCAATACCAGTGCGATTCGGCTATTTCAACCTTCCGGCGGGGTTTCTTTGGATGGTTGGACTATTTCCGCTGGAGAGAAAAGCAACACTGCAGAAGTTATGCGGTGACAAGTCGGAAGTGACTTGCGTGCAAGCTGATGCTGTACCGCAAGGTCGGAGAGACGCGGAGGTCGCCATGTCAAGATTATCAAGGGTCGGTTGACCGAGAGATCATCTGGTCGCTGACGTCCTCTGACAGGAGGGGGCTCAGCAGAAACGTGGATGGTTTAGAAGGATGTATGGAGGACCGGGCTTCTCCAGGGGCTTCTCCTACTACTGCTACATGTCTGTCTCTTCCTCGCCGATGCTAGCAGCTCACGTTCATGCAGGGTTGGCATCGAGCTAACGATCGCGATGGTTTCCAATGCCTTTGCAGACGCCTTCCTGCAGGTTAACCCGGTCTCGGTTCCTTAGCGCGTCTAATTTGGCTGTCAGGCTGTTCAAGAGTTGGAAGACGGCAACTGACGGGAGCGAAATGCAAGGGAAGCAGAAGTTGTTGTTTCGCATTAGACGAAGCTTTTTCTCACCCCGAACTTCGCACATGTGCTCCTGCATTCATGCTGGTTGTAGTGGTACAATCTCTCTCTATGAGTTAACGGCAGCTACTAGCTAGACATGTTAAGATGAGTCAATCGAAGTCAGCAACCCTCAAGTGCTCGAGCCATCTGGTGCTACGAAACTATCGCAGACTCCAGGGAGAATGCAGACCTCCTGCGACATCGATATGAGGAGAGGAGGAGGAGCTGCCATCATCGAACTACCTGGTTCGCATTCACCTCAGTGGCCTCGACGGGGATGTCAGGGTTGGCGTTCCTCAGCGACTTTTCTGTTGTCGCCATCTGAAACGCAAGCTGGAAGTCTGTCAGATTTTCTTTCGTCCCCATCTATTGTCATACCTGGCTAATTGGGATTGACTTTGGAGGCGCGTACAGACCTCCCAGGTTCACCACGCTCCCTGCTACGAGAATCAGTCTGTGCACAAGATCCCAGCGCGTCTGCCTGGTGCAATGGCATCAGGATTCCCTCCGAGGTTCGGATTGGACGACCAGATCTGGAACCAGTCTGCGAGATGTCAGCATCCGCCTTGACCCACATCAAGTGGAATACCTGTGAAGAATAACTTGGCCAGTGATGTGTAACTGTCGCCCGGGAGAGCGCAGTACTTACATTTGACAACCTGACTCTCAGTCAAAAACAGTGTCTAGGACCATTGAATGATCTCACCCGAATGTTGAAGCATTTGAAAGATGCGACGGCAGAAATGTTCTTTGTGTCCACTGCTCGGAAGCAGAGGCTATAGTCCTTCCCTTCCTGGCCTTTCTTTGGCGTCCACCTGCTACATCGTAAGGGCCACAGACAGAGTCGGTTGAATACGCACCTGATCGCTCTATACACCCCAACCCCTCTAGATCCATCCCCCAAAGCATGTACATCGCAGTTCATAGAGCACTGCGTTAAAGGCACGGGAATCTTACTGAACTTCAATCCGCCCACCTGCAAATCTTATGAACCACAGGAGAAGTTCTCGAGTGAAAAGTACCAGCGAAGAATCGTATGAGACATTTGGAGAGGGCAAAGAGAAGGATTCTTCAAAGTGGCAGGTCACACTGCACAAGGTCTTAGATGAACTGAAACCTCCAAATGAGACTTACTTGATTCCCTTTAGCGGAGTCAGCCCCGTGGATTTTTCAAGGTTTAGCACAATTCTTAGGGCATTATTCACCCATTGAGTCGACAGTCCAATCTTATCATCTAGAAGACAGGAAACTTTCGACATCGATGGACTTGACGGCTGGACGCCTTCAACCACCAACACTGTACCGTTTGCTGGTACAATGTTTGAATACACCGCCAAGTTCAGCAGAGAATTTGAGGGCTTGTTGTAGTATGCTTTGATTATGTAGTATGACGTTATCGCATCGTAAACTGAAGAATGTGAACTAAGTTCATATGAATTCCAGATGTATGGTAAATTCGATCCGATGTCGATTCCCACCGGAAACTTGCACTGAGCATTGGTACATGTGATGGCGGGAAGGCATACCGTGCACAAGGATTGATCGGGGCAACCTTCAGCAAGAGTGTAACTGTTGAAAACACAGCCCTCCGGTACAATTTGCAAATCTGAGAAGTTCTTGGTAAGGACCGAAAAAGCATGTACTCCGAACACGGGAATGGGACAGTTGACATAAGCATCTGGCAACCTTGTCGGAGGAAGAGGTTCGATCAATGCCGGATTGTTGTACTGGGCAGTCACACTGAATTCGGTAGCGTTTCCTTTAAGATTAGACGCATGGCAGCAGAGACCATTGATGTTTGTGTCAAGTCTTGATGAATCATCCTGCGCGTAGGCTTGGATTGACACAACCTGTGCTACCTTAGATTCATTAGAGCCCGGCTGGAACAACAGCTGTCTTCGCACGAATCTGCATGGATTGCGTGCGTATCGCATTGTACATACAGATCCGCACTTAGGACTGAAGGCGTAACCCGATGCCTCGCTAAAACATGGGTTCGTGCACTCAGTTGTCTCCGTCATGGAGCCCATCGGAAGCTCATGGCAGGCTGTGAAGTTTTCATCGCAGCACATCCTCGGGCCGAGAACGGCTCCATTGGGGAGACCTGTGGCGTGTACGTCTATGTCGTCCTCACGATTCATGTCTACCGCATCGATGTTCAACCGCAGCAATTGTCCGTTGTTCACCGTTACGTCGCACACGCTTACAGGCTTCTCCCAGCTTTTGAGGGGAAGAATAGTACGCCTTGTGGAGCACATGTTGTCGTCCGCCGGTGAGATTGCAACAATCTGAGGAGGAACGGCAACGTACAAGTTCACACATCGCTTAGGGTAAAAGTTCGTGTTGTACGAGCCATCGGGATTCACGATGCAACAGGTTTGCCGCCCTAGAACCTGTTTGAGTCCACTGTATGCGACTTGACTGACTGGACATGTCACTTCATCGGTGGGCCTGCAATCCACCAGAGCTTGGAAGCAAACTCTCAAGTCGTTGGAGGGAGCAAAGTCCACCAACGTGGCTGTGAATTCCCTGTAGCCTTTGGTAACATCATTGGGGAAGGGCATAAAAGCGGGGATGCTCAGCCCTTGCGAACCGACATTAACTGCTTTGCTGTTGTAGAAGGTGGAGTTGATCTCGAAGAAAATGCCCCTGTACTGCGAACCTTGGTCGCTTGGGTTGTCCTGGCGCATAGCACTGAAAAACTTGATCTGATCTCCAGGTTGACCCCAGAAGACATGATCGTTGGGAGGAGTCACAAAACAATTTGAACTGACGCCAGTGCAGTTGACACCCACATTAATGAACTCTGGGGCAATATGCCCGCTGCACACCCTCAAAGTAGCCAGTACCATCCACTGAAAAAGAACACGTTTGAACAAGCTCATGTTGAGAATGAACCGTTGCCGAACTAAGTAGAGCAGACTCAATCAGGCAAGTGCTTCTGACCTTGCATGCTTCCTGTTGCAGGAGGAAGACATCATGTCTCCTTCACCTCTCCCCACTCTTCGCCATCCTTCCCTTGCGCATTGCCATCGCGTCCTTTGGCTCCTGGAGGCGTCTGTTTCAGACCGTTTCATTCGCAATACGATCTGGCAGTTATTTTTATTGGTGAAACGTTATTAGCTGTCTTAAATTATATTAGTTACAGCTTAAAATAAGAATCTGTACTATTGACATCTAAAGATAAAAACTATATATAACATTCAATTGTAGATAGTACAATTATTATTTCATAGTTATTTCACTCAACTTAAGTCAACAATGTTTTATTTCAGTTTTAAAACGCGAAGGGGGCCGCTTCAGCAGTCGCAACTCTACTACCAGGGGTTAAAAGGGGTAGGTGCTATGCAAGGGTGGGGTTGTATGGGTAGCAGAGTGGGGTGGTGGTGTTCTAGTAAACAGTTGCAATGAATGGTCTAAAAGCAGGAGATGGCGGATCAACTAGTTAAGAAGATAAGATTGGGAGATAGAGTGGAAATACGAGGAGAGATTTTCGGAAGAACGATGAGTGATGGGTTGACTAAGGTGATTATTTGTAGATGAACTTCAATGTTGAGAGGAGGGAAACAAATCATAAGGGAATTTGATATGGTGTTGTGTTTTCACAGTGGAGAGCAGAAGAGAGTAGACAGAAGGAAGAAAACAATTGGAAGGAATGAAGGAAGGAATGAATTAAAGTCTAAAGACAGATTGGGAAAAGCGTGCCTTGTTTCATGACAACAATCCTGGGAGGACATAGAAATGAGCAATGCTGGCATATCGATTTATCTTTTTTTTGATATAGAGCTGAACTCGAATGCAAGACCCAGATTACAAACTTCATAGCAAGCACACGAGTACCTCCTTGGTCTATTCTTCACCTATCCAAATCGGTTCCCAACAAGACAAATAAGCCTCCACCTATCCAAATCGGTTCCCAACAAGACAAATAAGGTCGGCTTTTCTGGATTTCTCAAGGATCCCCAGCACTGTCCGGAAGCCTTCAATGAAGGCAGGTATGTCTCTTCGCTGATCAATGTTTTACCTTGAATACTTTTGTGCGATTTAATCGTTGATTGTCAGGCTGTTTTTGATCTGGTTACAGAACTGGATTCAACTGGGATCAATCACACGTAGTTGTGGTATGCTTCGAATGGTGCCTGATTTGTTCATTGAGCTTCCAAACAAGAACAGCAAAGGAAGCATCATGAAGTCTAGGACGCGATGTGCCGACTGTTTTCAGGCAGAGTCGCTGAGTAGAGCCAGCAGGTGAGTTAGGTTGAGCTCCGAGGCTTCACTGAAGTTCTTACAGAATCACTCTCATCGACTGCTCAAGGCATGGACGTGAGGCAGCCGCCAAGGCTGGCCTGGTTGGATTACTCGTTGGGTCTGCTTGCTGTGCTGCCGCTGCTGCCAAGTAGTCCTGCCTTCTGCAGACACCTCTCCGCTGACCGACTCTCAGAATGAGGACGGACAGTTCTCCTTTGTTCACCTTCTTTCGGATTTGTCTTGCACTTATTTCAATCTGCGGATTCTGTAGAGCATTTGTCAGGTAGTCTCTTCGTGTAACATGCAGGATAAGTCTCTCAATTGGTGACAGGGTAGTAAGGCCCTACAATCAGTTGCACTATTTCCGGTTCTTGTTCGCATACGTAGTGGTATGTTGCCTGTTCGCTCGTTGTCTTCGCTGACGCCTCCGATCCAAGGCCATGACAGCCTCGTCAGCAGTTGCTACTTTAGCTACTTTAATTGCAGTTGTGACTGCAATCAGAATGTAAGTTCATTCATGAGTCGTTTAGTACTTTGAAACAAATTGACTCAATATCAGGTGTTTCAAAACAGCGTTGGAGTATAGCGTTGGCAAAGATCCCCAGAAATGGTTTGGACAAGATGGTCAACGAGTTCGCATTGAATCTTCTTCTTCTTCAGGCTGTTGTCAGTAGCATCCATCGCTGCAGAGTGTCTCGAAGTGGGTGCATTGATTCTTCAGATGATCCTGATGGCACAGGTTTGCTCTATTTGTTTCTCTTCCATTTCTGTGATATTCGTGTCGCAAAGTGGGTTTTTGGAGAATTCAGTGTTATGCCCGTCCTATCGTCCATGAGCGTTATGTTCACTCTGCTTCATCACCTGAACAGCTTTGCGCCGGAATCTCTATGGTGGGAAGATGTTTTCTAGCACCACACTGTAAATTAAAGAGCTCTTCACCGAATCAACAACCAGCAACTCTCCAGAACCCAGTGGAAACACTTTCTTCACGCAGTCGACACAACCTATCAATGGAAGAAACAACACCCAAAACTCAATCACCAATTGACCAACAAGTTTATCAACACACTCATTGCACCACGCTATTCCATGCGCAAGTTTGAAAACTACAAAGCCTTCTCTCCGTGCGACACCCCTGATCACCTCTTAGAAAAGTGTAATTTCATTTTGATATGAACATCCGTCTTTTCAAATGTTTGTTTCCTCTGGATCTTGGACCACCTGCTAAGAGACGATCGATGTCATCCGCATGCATCTAAAACAATCAGGCAAGTCCTCGAAAGTTTATTTCAACCCAGCCAATAATACGGGTGAGAGGGGTAGGTAGTAGGGTGTTGTTGAGCACCTTGTCAAATTTTGATTGTTTTTTTTTGTATTCCCCGTACTCCATGTTTTAGTTATTATTCGGCTCTACAAGGATTGCTACGGGGTGAGATATCACCCGGTCCTAGGCCAAGCTATATATGGGTCTCTGGGGCTGCTCCCGAAATAGAACCCTCGTCGATCATGGTGAGGATCAAAATGCGCTCTTGTCGCGCTTCAATGCTCGTGCGAGCCTGATTGACATCCACCACCACCACCTCATCATCGTCACCACCAGCATCGTGATTGTATTCTTCGTCCCGGCTTCTTCGTCCTCCTTATTGATAGTCTCCTCCTCTGCTGCCTCTGCTCTTGCTCTTCACTGCCCAAGGTTGTCGGAAGCCAAATACTCGAATATCCATCCACATCATGAGCTTGCTGCAATGCGTTTGAGCCATGCGATTGGCCTTTACTGACGTTATCTTGACTAGAACGGGTCGGAGGTGTTCGAGGTCAACGTGACGGATGGCAACTACGGAGCTGTTGCCTCCAGAAGTCAGTTTCTCAATGATCGCAACTCCAAGAACAAACGAAGGGTAGCGTTGCAACGTCTCTTGCGATGCCTGTTGACGCCCTTGTCAGGCATTGTACTCGTCTATGCTTGCAGCTTGTCTTGCTTTGGTGGGAGTGGTCGCCCTTTCACGCACTGACAAGGCGGCAAGAATCTACACCAGCGCGGCACAAAAGATGATTGCTGCACGAAAGATGTTGAAATCAGCTACACAGAAACTCGGTGCAATCGAGAATTACGATGACTCGAGTGGCTTGCTGCACACCATGTACTCCGAGCCTGGTGAATCTTGATCGTTTGTTTGCATTGCAAGTTGTAGTAACATCCCAACAGGCTTCGAAGTTAAGATGTACTGGCAGAAAGACGTCTCTTTCAGTGACATGACCGGAAAGCTCATCGACTTGAAGACTATGCTGGGACTTCCTGATGCTCAAACCTTCAAGACTGCGTTGCACTTTGGAAACTATGCAGACATTGCTGAGAGTGCGGGGCCTTCGCTTCCTGCTAACAACACAGCGGATTACTCCAAGTTCGTTGCGATCTTTCATGGGAGGTAGCAAGAAGAAACTTATCCTTTGCTTTCTTAGACGCTGAAACCTTTTTGATAGAATGGAAGTGGTGAAGAAGGGCGACTACACATTCAACCTTTCAGCAACATCCCCCTGCGTTTTGTTCGTTGACAACAAACAGGTCATCATGATGCTTTGAATTGTTTTCTTGACATGTTTCAGATCATCGTCGCACCTAATGGCGGGCCTGAGTCCACTGATCCTATCACACTGGAGAGTGGATACCACAAGGTCACTTTCATCTGGAAAGCGCCGCAGGTGATGTTGATCTTGATGTTTGGTTGCCTGGGGCTAAAAGTTTTCGTTTTAAGCCGGATGAGGGCAACTCATTTGTTCAAGTTGTGTACACTGGTCCAGACACAGGAGGAGAGGAAGGGAATGTAATGGGATATCACTTCGCTCTCGACCTCGATGCCAAGGGCAAGGTCGAAGCCAAGAGAAACGTGCAGCCAGGATTCGGCTGCCTGTTCTACTACATGGCTCCCCAAGGTGGCTACAGCTCCTCATCTACCCCAACTCCCGGTAACCAGCAGTAGCTGCGAACATTTTGTTGTGACTTTGGCCCAGATGGACCGATGAAGTTGTACGTCCAAACCATCACTGGCAAGACTTTCGCTGTCGACCTGGACGGCTCAGACACCATCGAGACGTTGCGTGAGAAGGTGGCAGAGCAGAGCAACATCGCTACCGCACAGCAGAAGCTGATGTATCAGGGAATAGTCCTAGCTGACGGTAGAACCTTGAAGGATTACTACATTCAGCCCTCCTCTACCATCCTCGTCAGCTTCGCCTACTTCAGTGATACCGACGTTTCTGTTCCTTCCCTCTCCGATATCCAGAATCGGTCCCTCTTCAACCCTCCCAACTCGGCGGCGAGGTGAGACAACTAAAGGGCGGAGAGCGTTCTGACGTCTGACTAGGTTGGCCACTTTTGACTACCGCAACCACGATGAGTGGGTGGAGGCTCTGCAAGACGAGAACTTCCCCAGGAAGATGGTGAGTCAAGTCACTCACAGGATGTTTGTGGGTGTGCTGAAGGCCACGCGGCAGGTTGTGCTGATGGCGGAGGGCATGATCAAGATCGAGGAGGGAGGAGTCTACGAGTTCGCTCTGACCAGTGACGACGGCTCATCGGTAACGCTTCTCAGCTCAGTCGCTCGATCTGATCCCCACCTTCCAGCTGGAGATCGACGACGACTTGATCATTGAGAACGCCGACGCCGACGGTTCAGCTGACGGTGCTGCTGCTGGCCCTCTAGATGTGACTTGACTGACGTTGAGCAGCTGAGGGAGGCTTTCTTCATCCCCACGAAAAGAGAGCGCAGATCTACTTGGACAAGGGGTAGGAAAACTCTCTGAGCCATGGGGGTAGTCTCTGACTGGTCGGACCAGGTGGCATGGGGTCAGGTTGATGTGGAGGCAGGACGGCACCGACGACGACTACGTCACCAACCCGACATGGGAGGAAAACCTGACGACCTTCCCGCAAGAGACTGGCGACGACAACATGATAGGAGCAATGCAGGGTGGCGACACGCTGACGTTCTACGTGAAGACTTCCAAGGGTGACAAGATCAAGTTCAAGCTCCCGAGCTCCACCACCGTCTACGACCTCAAGGAGAAGCTGGCGAAGTCCATTGACATCCCTTCCATCGAGCAGTCCCTCAGTTACAACGGAGCTCCTCTGGCCAACGAGAACACTCTCGCGTACTATCAGATCCTTCCGGAATCCGTCGTGAAGATGGGTAAGAAGTATCTTCGACTTCCTCTCTTCCTCCCCTCCTCTTTCCCACCTTCTTCTTCTCATCAGCTCCTTCAGGACGCTACTGGGGCCACCAGGTCCTCGTGCTGCAGTATGCTGGACCTGATACCGGCTCCGACGACACGTTCAAGCTCGTGGAGGGATATCATGAGGTAATCCTTCTCTTCTCGACTGCTTCCTCTTGCCTCATCCTGACTCATACCTCCTCCTTCCCCTCCTCGCTTTCTTCCCTTCCTCACCCCTTCCGATGCTGTTGCCCTCGACGTGTCCTCCTTTTTTCCTCCCCCTCCCCCTCCCGTGATTTTCTCACCTCGATCCCCTCAGACGGGCATCATCGGCCTCGGATCCCTCAAGGGCGTCCAGCTGTCCAACGGCGACTCGGTGGACCTCGGCGATGCGAACAAGTACAGGGAAAAGAATCCCTTCTTCGACTACGACAAGGTGCCGCTGCTTCCTCCCTCCTCCTCCCCACTCGCTACCTCCTCTACTTTCTTCTTCCATTCTTGTTTCTCCTCGTCCCTCCCTCCTCACTTTCTCTACTGCCGAGTGCTCTGAAAGGCTCCATTCTTTCCTCCTCCTCTTTTCTCTAATTCCTCTGCAGAAATGGCTGTCCAAGAACAAGAACAAGAAGTGGAGGGTCTACGATGCTGCGGATTGGAAGGAGGAGATTGGCGACCATGTCACCAAGATCATCAAGCCCTACACCGACTACACCAAGAAGGCCAACGCATACGTGCACTCCACGGTGAAGAGGGAGGAGAGGACAGAGGGAGGAGAGTAGAGCATGGAGGGGGGGGGGGCAGGGGTTGGGGTGGTTCCATGAGAAGAGGAGGAGGAAAAAGAGTATAGAACGGGAGGGAGGACTAGAGGAACGGTTGTTCTTATTCATTTCTCAGGTTCCTGCCGAGGTCTACACGCACAAGCCTAGCTACGATCGTGAGGTAGGAGCATGACAGCAGAGGAGGAGGAGGAGTGACCCATGATCAGGTTGTGGACATCGGAGGAAAGGCTATTCCATGGAAGCACAACGAGAAGAACGGCGACTACCTCAAGACTGTTGTTGGATCATCTTACAAGGTCTCCTCCTGCTCCTTCCTCTCCTCTCCTCTCCTTTCCTCTCCTACTCCTGCTCCGTCTCTCTCTTCCCCTCTCTCTCCCTCCCTCCTCGCTGATCAACTCTCAGGGCTTCGACAAGACATGGAGCAAGACGCCCAAGTCAGCTGCGTTCGGAGGCAACAAGGACGGGACTTCAGGAAGATAAACTTTCTCTCTTCTACTTCTCCACCTCCTCCCCCTCCTCCTCCTCTTCGGAGGGTCTGAGGGTCTGTGTCCCTAGTCAGTGAGGAGCATTGGAAGCTATGCTGTCATTCTATTACTGTACGTGAAGCTATAACAAACCCCTCCTCCTCCTCCTCCTTCCCTCCTCCTCCTCCTCCCTTACACGTTCCCCTCCCCTCCCCTCTTATTCGTCCACCGCCTTCCATTATCCCTCATCATCTTGTGTTGCACTCTCCCTTTCTTCTCCCCGCGTCTCACTGCATTGCTCAAGCTCCCTTCCTCTCATCATCCACATGTGAACTCCTTCCTGGACTCCCCTCTCTGTTCCACCATTTCTCGTGCCTCTTTCCTTCCTCCCGTTCCTCCAGCTCCCCTCCCCCCGTCTCCTCCTCCTCCTCCTCCTCCTCCTCCTCCTCCTCCTCCTCCTCCTCCTCCTCCTCCTCCTCCTCTTGACTCCATTCACTTGAACAAGAGCCGGGGAGCGACAACCATGAAGCTTGTCAGCCATGCCGACAGGGCGCAGCGAGGGACGAGACCGACGTAGAGGCCGTGCGGCCCCTCCTTCTCCACCACCTTCCTCATCGTATCCAGCGTGCTCTCCTTGCTCCCTCCTAGCAGCACCTGATCTCTCTGCTGCCGGATCCTCGCGATCTGCGACCCGTCATGCCCGAGGCCGAGGAGGTGAGGAGGGAGGGAGGAGGAGAAGGGAGCGGAGGAGGAAAGAGACGAGCGAGGAGGAAAAATGCCGGAGGAAGAGTGGGAGGAAAGAACAGCGAAAGTACGGGAAGGGAGGAGTAGGAGGAAAGGGAGGAAAGAGGGGGAGGAGAAGGCAGAGTAAGACCTCAAACGGATGATTCCAGCATGCTAGTACACCTCCAATCACCCCGCTTCCTATCTCCAGCGCTGCTCCTTTGCCTACACCTTGTCTACGGGGGATGTGAGAAAAGTGATGCTGAACAGCATCGTTCGTGGAGGGAGGAGGAGGGAGGAGGAGGAAGGAGGAGGGGAGATGCTCGGGGAGAAGGCGCAGTGCAGGAGGGGACCTCTTCAACCAGTTTCTCGCTAGTCCGGTCAGACCCTCACGCGATGCCCTGTGACAGTCTCTCATCTTCCTCTTCCTCCTCCCCTCCCCTCTCGAACCAGTTCGTTGCTTCTCGTAGAGCAAGAGATCCTCCTCCCGTGTACAGCTCAAGGAAGTTTCGCTTCCCCTCCGCAACGTCCCTCAGAGTCGTCAGCGCCGGCTTCCCAGTCGTGGCAGTCGTGAGGACGAGCATGGTGGTGGGAGCGAGGACGAGACATGATCCGATTCCTCCTGCTATCCCTGCGATCCCTCCTATAGCCGACTCGGCTAGCGGCACTCGAGCTTGCACCAGCGCTGCCCTCATCCCCTCCTTAGTCGCCATGAGCGCGGCCCCACACAGCGATCCCTCGATAAGCTTCGCGGGCAGACCCGCCCAGTAAGCTCCGAGCCCCCCCTGCTGCTGGTAGACAGCCTTGAGAGCCTGTAGCGCAGACTCCTCGGGGTGCCGGATGCTCCTCGTCTGCCTACTCGTCAGACCTTCACTTCACTCCCTCCCTTCTGCACACCTTCCAGTGGTCGAGAGGAAGCCCGCCTGTCAGATCGGCTGTGATGCGGAGCACGGCTCCTCGAGCGAGGGCTCGAGCGGTGGAGGGCAGGAGAGTCGTCGCTCCTCCTGCTCCCTGCGGACACAGCAGGCACATGGCCATCGCCATGCGGAATCGCCCGACCAGCATGACGGCCCCCCAGATCCTTGTTAGGGGAAAGGACCCGGAGGGATACCAAGAGAATAGGGGGTAGGGGTAGTAAGTTTACTGCGATACGCTCCTCTCGGGTGAAGTGGACTAAGGAAAGATGTAGAGAGGGGTTGAGACGATCGCAACGAGTGGAGGAAGAGAGGGGCATCGGGAAGAAATGTTGAGACACGAAAGGACGATCAAGAATGATTGAGAGATAAATGAAGGAGAAGACAACCAAGAGCTTCTGCCTTCATGTATTAGATTCTACGAGACGACCAAGAGCTTCTGCCTTCATGTATTAGATTCTAGGAGACGACCAAGAGCTTCTGCCTTCATGTACTAGGTTCCAGAAGACAACCAAGAGCTTCTGCCTTCATGTACTAGGTTCCAGATGCATTCCTAAGTGCCTGGAAGATGAAAAGAGCCAGGGATAGAAGGATGAAGGAGAGGATTATGTTGATGAAAAACCGCGATGCACCGCCTGCGATCTCGTTATGCAAGTACGAGGAAACTCTCGTCCCCACCAGCTTGTTTGAGAACATTGTGCATCTTCCTGTTCATGTTCGTCAACTGGTTCTCAGCGTTGTCCGCCTGCAAGCAGCGTTCAGAGGGAGGAGGAGGGAGAACATCGGTCACCTTGATAGCTATCTCGTCGATCATGACCGCCTGCACGCGAACTTCGTTGTGGATGTCGGTGGCGATGGCACGAAGTCTCTGAAGGCCTTCAACAGCATCAGCACGACTGTCACGACAGGATTCCAGTCACCGGCAGCGATGGAGTCCAGGCTGCCATCCAGCTCCTCGTCTCGTTGGTTGACATGGATGAGACGCTCGCGCAAGGAGTCGTCGATCTCCTGCTCGAGGGTGACTGACCGGGATGTGGCACATGGGAGGTACGATGCGGGTGTTGCTGTCGACCCGGCTGTTGGGACCGTGATGGAGTGAGTGAAACAGCTTCTCGTCCTGAGGGAGAAGTCAGTCATATGTCTCGGATCTCTAGGGAGAAGCTCACTTTCGTGCTTTTCTTCACACTCGTAGAGCCAGCTTCCTTCTCGCGCTGAGAATCATCGTCAGGCCAACCATGGAGGACCACGACAGCAGCAGCTACCTTGATGCAGATGTCGATGTTCTTGAGTATGGCGTGAACCTCGTGGCTCATTTCACTGTCGCTTCCCTTGTATGAGTTGGCATGAATCTTTTCCAGCCTGTGAGAGAACGTGTAAGAACAACTGCGCTCTTACTGGACTCCATCACTTCTCCGCTTTCATGGCCAGCTCGTTGAGATCGCGTCGTACTGCTGCTGCCGCCGCAATGCCATCGACCGATCTATTCTTTCCCTGCAGAGACATGGGCAGTCAGAGAGTGTAGTAGAACAGCATGTCTTCAACAACCTGAGCGAAGAGCTCGTCTCTTCTGTGAACACTCCTTCTTAGCAACTCGATCTGATCGATGCAGTCGGACTGGCTATCAAGTCAGAGAGGTCCACGGGATTGTACAAGGATGCCTGAGCGATTTGGAGAGGGCTTCTTTCGTCACGTTTGCTGCCTGTAAGTTCGCTCTACCAAAGGTGCGTAAGTTTGGCCATGATCGATCTTCCTTGTTTACCACTCCATCCGAGATTTCTACATGAATATCTTCCAGTCTTCGAATTAAACCTTTTCATATACTTCAACGTTCCCATGAAGTTTCATAAGGAATTTACCATCGATTGTGTGGTATGTTGCCATCTCCAAATGAGTGAAAAGAGCGATTCGTGCGCAATTGGACGGAAAGAGGTCGTTTCATAAACAACGAGCAAACCGTTGGACAAGCATTCAGACGGCAGCTTCAGATCAAGTACGGGTAAGTATCGAGCAAGATCAAGCTAGTCCTCACCTTCACCTGCTTTTCTTCCCCGTTTCATCGCATGCTCTCCATACTCCCTCCCTCCCTCCTGCACCATGCCCCCTGCATTGCCGCAACGACGGTGCTTCACCTGTCACCTAAATTACCACTGGTAACCTGACCAGAATGATGCACGAATATAACGGATACTATAACGATCAGGTACAAAACAGAAGTTTCGTTTAACCGCTCTGTAACGGTCCTGGTAAAGCTCTGAGAATGAGAGAAGGGGCCTGAGAAATGCGAAGCTCGAGGAGGAGGCGAGTCGAGGGCGAAGGCGAGGACCCAGGTGAGACAGATATGCTGAGACATAACGATACTGACGAGGAGGAGGAGGTGGAGAAGGAGGAGGACAAGGACAAGGACAAGGAGCAGCAGCAGAAAGAAATCGGAACGAGTAACGCCGGCAAAGGCGCAATGGTCAGACGGGCAGGCGATGGCAGGAAGTGGAGGTCCTGGTTTTCAAGATTATCTATCTCGGAGCGAGTAGAAGTGCTTACTATCAGGAACGAACGATGGATCTCAACTGTGATGGCCATGGCGAGCGAGGAGGTGAACTTTCGCCTATCGAGATCGAGAGCTGCGGCACAGTAAGGCTAGTGTGGGGTGTTATGATATGCTTACCTGAGTTCAGATCGCTCAAGTGCTGTCGCTTTGCCTTCACTGACGATGACGTCACTGATGCTGTTAACGATCACCCTCGCGGAAGGAAAGCAAACCCGTCGAGACCAGACGACAAGACCATGGACATGTTGAGAGAAGAGTTGCTGAGAGCGGGAGGAAGCTCTGAAGCAGTAGACAAGCTCTTGAAGAAGATTGCAGGCAAGAAGAGCATCCGCGATGGCGAACCGCCAGATCAAAACGAAGATCCCTGCAAGAAAGCAGACGTCCGTCAGTTCGTCACGGTCCGCACAGACCCTGAGGAGCGGGAAGGAAGAACGAGAGCGCATGTTGTGCTGTCCGACCATCTTGATAGGAAGATGTCTCTGTCAAGGTGAGACTTGCTGTGGCGTTGGTTGCCAGACGCTCACGTTGAGTACTCACAGTCTCCTCCTCTCTCACCTGCATGTTGTGCACGAAGACGGCAAACCTACTTCCCTCAAGCCCGACCAGGAGCTGGTGCAGGACCTCAACACGTTCTGGGAGATGACGCGAGTAATCACGAATGGAGGGTTCCTCAGCAGGCTGCAGGATGCTGACGTGAGAGCTTCGGACAGCAGCACAGGTTTCCCTACCCCCCCCCCCCCCCCAGTGCAATCACACTTGTCAAAGCAGAGGTTTGGAAGGAAGCCGAATGGCTGTGCCAGTCTGGGAAGGAGATCTCGACGTGTTGTCCGAGTGAATGTCTGAAGTTGTGCTCCTTCACCTGGTATCGTTGTGCTCGACACTGTGAACGACTCTGATCTCCGAGCAGTGCTGAGCTTGTGTGCTCGACTTTCGAAGGGAGGATGAGGGCGGCAGAGGCAGAGGGTGAGAAGAGAGAATTCGTGAAGACAGCTCGTCTGAAATGTTTGCAGGGAGAGGCAATGGAGCGAGAGATGATCATGTGATTGGGATCGGGTCGATTGTGTGTCATGTGACTTGGCCCAGTCGTCTCCGATCCATCGGTGGTGGCACCAGATTCCTCGGCAGCTGAAGATGTTTCATCTGGTCAAGTCACTCGTGCGAGCGAGCGATGAGCTTCAACAGACTAGTTCCAACGTGAGAGAAGGATGCAACGTGATGATCTTGACTCCTTCTGTTCAGAAACAGGCCCCTGGTGGCTTTCCCGAGGACTTGAATGCGCTGATAACGCTACGGCAAATTTGCCAGTATGTCTTGTATGTATGAGGAGAGATTGAAGGACTAACTGCGCCATCAGTTTTGCCTCTCACTTCGACAAATCCCAACGGAGAAATTCTCCCTTGAGATGTCAACTACAGGCTGATTTTGGTACTTGATCTTTGCCAACCCCCCACTTCTCATTCCTTCTCTGATTCTCTCCTCCTGTTCTTTATCACCATCATCTCCTCCATCAACATCACTATCGACCTTCTCCGTTGTCCTCAGCATACTCCCCATTTTCCCCCTCATTTGCAACATTGGCAAATTATTGCTCACTTTGTGCTTTTGCTGCAGACGCAACAGACGATGCTTGTTGGTTTTCATCTTTCCGAGGGTTTTGTCCAGACGCGAGCACTCGCGTCGACTTGTGTCATGACTCAGCCTGTCTCTTCTCCTCCTCTTCTCCTCTCCTCGCTCCGCCGCCGCCCCCTTACCGCAGGATGATGCACTGGATCCTTCATGAGGTATGAAAACTCCCAGTTGGTTGGAGATTTCTCAGCTAGAGCGCAGTTGAAGGAGAGTTTTGCCCGGCACAACGAGAAGCTGATCACGGAGATACAGCATGTGATGCTGGAACTGACATGCTGAGAGGAGCTGACACGTGAGCAGCGAGAGCAGGAGGAGGAAGAGAGCAGCAAGATGCGCAAGAAGGAGGCGAACAGGAAGAAGAAGGAGAAGGAGAAGGAGAGGAAGGCCAGGAGGTTGAGAGCTCGATCTTTTGAAAATTCCTGCAAGAGCTCAACAATTTCTCAGGCGAGCTGAAGCAGCTAAGGAGGAGGAAGCTGCGCTGGAAACCTCTCAACCATCTTTGTTTGCATTTCGTGACTTGAAGTTTGACAGGCGCGGGAGCAAGAGATGATGATGGAACGAGAGGTCAGCCACGGACAAGAAGCCTTCTCTCCTCTGCCAACTTCTGCCTCCCTCTCCCTCTCCCTCTCCCTCTCCCTCTCCCTCTCCCTCTCCCTCTCCCTCTCCCTCTCCCTCTCCCTCTCCCTCTCCCTCTCCCCTTCCCCTCGTCCTCCAATTTGATGCATGAAATTGACTTCATGCTGCCTCAGAAAGCGCGCAAGAGCGACAAGAGGAGAGCGAAATGGCGAATGCTTACTTCGCTCATCATCCAAAAGACGATCGACGATGAGATGGAGGTGAACTTTGACGCTCCTGCTCCTCCGTCGACTCCTCCTCCTCCTCCTCCTCCTCCTCCTCCTCCTCCTCCTCCTCCTCCTCCTCCTCCTCCTCCTCCTCCTCCTCCTCCTCCTCCTCCTCCTCTTTCTCCTTCTCCTCCTGATCTTCGTCCTTGCTTTTGCTATTTCGCCTGTTCCAATGATTCCGGATCAGATGCGTCGGTGCGTTTCCAACATCGTACAAGAGGTAGAAGCTCCTTCAGTCGTTTGCCTCGTTCATTTGCCTCTAGCTCGTTAGGAAATCTGTCAGCATAGCTACCAGCAGGAAGTCTCATAGAGAGAAGGTATCCCTTCTCCTCTCCCCTTCGCCACATCTGTCTCTCTCTCTTCGTCTTCACGATTCTTCTCCTCCCCCTGTCCCTCCTCTTTCCCGTATCGCTTCTGACTTATTATTGCTCCCCTCTCCCCTCTCCCCTCCTTTTGCTCATTCAGGAGTCGAGGAGGAGGAAAAAACCTTCGGACTGGTCCTTCCCCGACAGCCCTTTCCTCAACGGACGATTCTCCTCCACCCCTGGCGCCTTCAGCCGCTCAAGCAGCAGCAGCAGCTCTCCAGGTGACCCCCTCCTGCTCCTCCTGCCCTCCTTGACCCCTCCTGGTTCTCCCGCCTTTCTTGACCCCTCCTGCTTCTCCCGCCTTTCTTGACCCCTCCTGCTCCTTCTGTTCCCGATTACCCTCCTGCAGGGGCCAGCAACTTCTTCCTCCCCTTCTCCTTCTCCTCGGAACCTGAGGGCTACCTACGAAGCCAGTGGGGCAACGCGTTCCTGCTGCAGGCCGACGTGATGGAGCAGGACGCACAGCTCAAGTTTCCTCCCTCCTCGCGCTACAGCCGCAGCGGCTTCATGGCAGGAAAGACAAACTTCAGCGACCCGTTCTTGCAGCAGACTTGTGGGCACCCGCTGCATGTGAGCTGAGGGAGGGAGGAGAGGGGGAAGGGGAAGGGAACATGGAGAGAGGGGAGGAGGAAGCTAGGAGGGGCAAGGGGGTGCGGAGGAGAGGAGGGATGGGGCACGAGGGGGAGAGGAAGAAACTGAGACTGACTTTGAGTTGTCAGTGCTGCAGCATGCATGCCGGCATGTTCCCCAGCAGTCACGGGAGCAGCATGTTCAGCGACTTTCCTCTCTTCCTCGACGAGCGCCAGCACGCGGCGCCCGGTCGCTGCCCCCCGGAAGGAGCCAGCAGGGAAGCTCAGATAGAGATGCCGCCCCACCCCACCCCCACCAAGAGAAATCAGATGCACCACATGAATGCTGGTAGACAACTCTGCTTACCCCTCCCTCCTACCTCTCCAGTCCTCCTCCTCTAGCTCCCATGGCCCCTCCCTCCTACCTCTCCAGTCCTCCTCCTCTAGCTCCCCTTGCCCCTCCCTCTTCTCTGCAACCTCCTCGTCCCTATTCCCTTGTGTCCCGACCATGTTGGTCTGGCTCTGACTCGGCGATCAGACGGCAAGGTGGGATGGAAGATGCAGTTCAATCCCAACTCTCAAGCCTTCTTTGGGGGTCGATCCGACCTGGTGCGCTTCGACTCAACTCCTCATTCTTTTGTTCCTGCCTCTATCCCCTGATTCTCATCTGCCTCCTCCTCCTCCTCTTTTTCCTCCTCCTCCACCACCACCACCACCACCTCACCACCTCACCACCTCACCTCCCCACCACCACCACCACCACCTCCTCCTCCTCCTCCTCACTTCCTCATCTTCACTTCCTCCTTCCTAACTTCCCTGTCCTCTTGCCGTCCTGCTCTAATATTGCCTAAAGGGACAGCTGAATAATTTCTTCATTCCCTCCAGCAGGCCGTATGACGGTAAGTCTTCCATGTCCTCCTCCTCCTCTCACTATGGCAGCAGAGGCAGAGAAGGTCTCTCCTCCTGGCAGCGACGGGTCTCGACGGGAGGCGAAACATCCGAACCAGCAGTTCCCCAGCAGCAAGTTTGCCGACTCGCAGATGTTTGACTATCTGCCGCCGAGGTGAGAGATGCCATGGAAGTGAGCAAGGAGAGAGGAGGACAGGAAGGAAGTAGGGGGAGGGGCAGAAGGAGAGGGGACGGGAGGGGGCAGGGAGTAGGAGAAAATAGCGAGGACAATGTTGCGAGAGGAGCGCGAGGACGAGGAAAGGAGGACAAGGACAAGGACAAGGAGGATGATGGGGAGGATGACACATTTTGTAGGATGTATTCAGAGGAGGAGATGGTTGAAAGCACTTTCCCTCCCCTCGACCTCTCCGCCGGCAGCTCGATGCTCTCGACTCCAGATCAGTCTCCTTCCCTTCGGAACGCCAACTTCTCCTGGAACTCTCCCTCCCTCACATCCTTCGGCCGCGCAGGAATGGTTCCGCACTGCCCGCAAACTCCGAGCCTCTCGTCCTCGGAACCGTTCGGGGAGGGTCAGCAGGAGCTGAGCTTCTTCTTCGACTCGCACAACGTCGAGCAACTGTGCGCCTCCTCGGACTCGTCGATCCGCACCAGCGTCACCCCCGACAGCATGCTGAGGATGGAGGGATCGCGGCAGGAGTGGAAGGAGACGTCATGCTCTCCATTCACCCAGCAGGAGGTGAACTTGCCAGGAGGGAGTCCAGGAGAACCCCCGGAGGGCGCGAAGCTCCAAGAGGAGGGGAACCCAAACCATGGTGGGCTGAACTGCGAGAACCCCAAGGTGAGGACGGACGGCATGAAAGCCTGCTCCTCCTCTCCTCCTCCCTCCTCCTCTCCCCTCCGCTGCTTCTATCCCAACCAAGCTATCCCCTCCTACTCAAAGTTCAATCTCATAGAGCCCAGCTGCCGCATGCTCGGCAAGTTTGTGATGGGCGGGTACTCGAACTTCGAGCACGTGGACGAGACGCGGTCGGAGCCCGGGGACTGGTGGGTCAAGGGGGAGGGAGTCTTCTCCATCGACGAGGAGGGCATGGACGCCGGGACCGTGTCAGACTCGGAGGCTGAGAGCCAGAGCTTCCCGCACTTCAACGAGGTCGCGGGAAGGAGGAGAAAGCGGCAGAGGGCGGACAGCAACCTGGTCCTCAAGGAGGAGGCTCACCCTAGGAGGACCAGATTGGTCAGCCGGTTCTCGACCAGGCAGGTAGCGAGCGGCGTGGGGATGGTAGGGTCTCTGCAGGAAGAAACTGTCCCCGAGGGCGAGGTGTACGGGGCGGAGGCAGAGGCGAAACTTGCGGGGAAGGGGAGGAAGGCAGAGCACGCGCAGGGGACAGACTCCCCGGCTACTCCTCGAGCTGAGGGGCGCCAGCGAAGTGCGGGAGACGGCTCGAGCCCGATGGAAGTGTTCACCTTCCGAGGCAGCGAGGAGGAGGGGAGGAGCTGCTCGGTCAACAGGACGCACCGGACGCGATCTCGCTCGCTCTCTCGCAACGGCGGGCGGGGGCTGTACATGGAGCGAGGAAGAAGTTCGACATACGCGACGTACCTCCGGCATCCTCTCCTCGACTTCCCTCCGACCTCTCACCGGCCGATGGCATGGCAGCATCCCCTGCTCGACCTCCCCAGCGCTTTCAACATGCAGGACGCGGCGCGACGCCTGATGGGGGCGTGGAAGGACATGGACCTGACGCAACAGCTGGGGGATGAGGTGGGCCTCCGGCGGAGCATGAGCGAGAGGACGCTGCTGTCGTCGGGCAACATGGACGGGAGGATGCGAGCTCTTGCTCGTGCTCGGTCACAACCGTCGTCTCCACTCTCCATCCCCCTCGCGAGCCCCATGGACTTTCATGCTCCTCCCAAGCAGGGAGTCTCCCACTTGAGCCTGCCGATGGAGCAGACGATGCCTGCAGGCATCCCCATCCTGCCCGACGGTCGCCGGCAAAACAGGAGGGGCTTCATACAGCCAGGAGCTCATCCCGTCAGCGTTCGCTCCTCAGCCGCCCACCTGCGCGGCATGGCGTCGGAGCCGCGGCAGAGGGACGTCAAGGGTCGCTTGCCCCTCAACGTGGGCGACATCCTCCCGGGCCATCTGATCCAGCGGCTGCAGGACGAGAACGAGTCCCTCAGGAAGTCCGTCCAGCGACTAACCACGGAGCTCTGCGCCTCCACCAACGTCGTCAAGGAGCTGTCGGCCGTGCTCAGCCCAGCCGCCAAGAAGCCCAGTGAGCAGGAGACAGGCGAAGCGCAAGAGGCGGCGAAGACCCAAGCGAAAGAGACGGAGCAGGGGGAGGAGGCGGTTTCCTCTAGCCAGCAGACCATCGCTAAGACGCTGCAGACGCTGGGGCGGGAGCTGATGCACGCCATGCTGGACTCAGACATGCTGCTCTTCTCCCGCCGGATCCAGTCGGAGCTGGACAGACGCTCTCACTACCGGCTGTGCGCCATTGCTAAGATCCAGTCGGCCGCCTCCTCCCTCTGGCCTCGCGCTCAGTGCAAAATCTTCGGGTCTGTGGCGACGAGCCTGTCGGTCCCGACGAGTGACGTGGACATCATCGTGTGCTTGCCCAAGGTGATGTCGAGGGAGTCGGAGCCCTCGCTCGCTCGCGCCGGAGTCATGGAGGGCAGGCGGGTGATCAAGGGGACCCTGCAGGCAAACCTGGCGCAGGTGCTCGCCAACGCCGACTGGATTCAGAGCGAAACCCTCAAGACGATCGAGAACGCCGTCGTCCCCGTCATCACCTTCAGCACGAAGCCGATGAGCCTCTTCCTCGATCCCTCCCAACACAAGGCCAGCGAGGAGGAGGAGAAGATCAGTGTAATCAGGCTCGACGTGACGTTCGAGGGCCCTGATCATCGAGGGCTGCCAGCAGTGAGGCTGGTGCAGTCGCTGGTTCAAGACTTCCCGGCCCTCAAGCACCTCTTCTTCGTCGTCAAGTCCCTCCTCTCTGACAAGGGCCTTGACAACCCCTACACTGGAGGGCTGACCTCCTTCGGCCTCGTCCTCCTCGTCACCCGCTACCTCCAGCACTCCAACCAGAGCAAGAAGGCGCAGGGCGTCAGGATGGAGCCGAACCTGGGAGCCGAGCTCTCCGGCTTCCTGGACTTTTACGGCAACCGGTTTGACCCGCGGTCAACCGGCATCACCATCGGCTCGGAGGCCGAGTTCGCCCTGCACGGGTCTCGCAAGCTCATCGGGCGATTCCTCCGAAGGGACCAGCCCTTCCGGAGCGAAGTATCGCGACCGGCGACAGGAGGGAGGGTAGTGAAGACTTCCAACGGCAGGAGGATGAGCATCGAGGACTCCACCCCCTCGAACGAGCGGTCGGAGTCGCTGACGGCGCAGGAGCGGCGGTACCATCTCGACCCGCTCTACATCGAAAACCCGCTGGACTCGCAGAGCAACGTCACTCGCAACTGCTTCCGCATCTACCGCATCCAGCGCGCTTTCTCTGACGCTCTCATCAACCTGCGCAATGGTGAGTTCCCTCAGTGAATAAGTTGCCCCGGCCCCGGCTGACGCGGCTGGTCCTGGCAGGTGTCCTGGCGACTCCACCCAGCAACGACGGGAGGAGGAGGGGAGGAATGAGGATTCTGGACGCCATCATCAACTGCCCCGACGTCTCTTGACAGGCTCTCACCTGATAGTTGATGTTGTACTATTCTTGTGACTCTGATGTAACATAGCGCAAAGTTGAACATAGCGCAAAGTTGAACATAACTCAGTCGACGGTGTCCCGTGTACTGGGACTCAGCCACGCCGCTCAGCGGCTACTACCGTACTAGTAGGCACTAGTACCCCCGGCCCCCGCCGGGCCGATCGGCTAGCCTTGAACTCGCGAGTTACCCCCCGGCACCCGCTAGTTACCCACCGGCGTCCGTTGCCCACCGGACCCGGGGGCCCATCGGCGGGCCACACACTGATAGCCTGGCACGGGCCCGGCCCCGGGCCTGCCGGGCCCGGCCGGCACTTCAAGCGCCGCGCCGCCGGCGCGCGGCGGCCGGCGAGTCTAACTAGTAAAGCCCTCATCCCCCATATGCCCTTCATCAAATGTTGAGCCAAAAACAAAGCGAAGTAGAGGAGGGCTTATTGGGGGTGGGGTAGGGCAACATTGTAAACATCCCAGGTGGGTACTCAAGAAGAGCGTAGAATACGGGGGTAGGTGGTTGTGAGATCGGACTTCCAGGTGGGTGGTCTTTCATCTCAAAATTTGATCTCGAGGCCGCTAACTAGAGCAACTGATACTCAAGGGGTGGGTGTGAAGTCCTCTGTCAGGTAGGGGAGGTAAAAGGAGAGCTGTGTTTGAGTCTGTTAGAGAGGTGGGTGGGGTGATCTGATAGACACAAGGGGAGGTAGGGTTAATTCTTGGCGCAGTGCTGGGTGGGTGGTCGGCCATGGGTGAAGATGGGTTGGACGGCATGCAGGGGCAGGGGCAAGCGCAGGGGCAACAACAGCACCAGCACCAGCACCAACAGCACCAGCAACAGCACCAGCACCAGCATCAACCAGGTTCTCTCTCTTACTATGCTTCTTTGCTCTTCCATAGTATTCTGAGGATGCTACACCATGTTGTCTGAAAGATTCAGAGTGGCATATGTTTCGAAAATGTGTGACATGCGAGGAGAATTGAACGTTGAGGAAAGAGAAGAGGTCTTTTAAGAGGGTTTGTATAGAGAAGACAGAGTATTTGGGAAGCATCATTAGATTGTGGAGCGAGATGTTCCTTAGATTGAGAGATGTCTAAAAGATTGCTTTCAGCTTCGATGAACCTCTTGCGAAGGATCTACGGCGCACAGTCGGAATCTGCAGGTGACTTGATAATTCATCACTCTTAGAGTAACTGATTCTGTTTTGCAAACAGCTCAGCAAGGTAAGAGGGAAATTATTGGCATCCAGAACTTCGTGCAGCTCAAAGCATGTCGGGCAGACAAACTCTGAACATGTGTTCCCCAGGCGCAGATCTTATGGAGTCAGGGAGGCTTCATGAGACCAGCTCTTCAAGGTTGTACCTGCATCACTGACAATGCTCTCATGCACTCACATGATGGTCGTCAGGATGGAGGCGCATGCTCATCACAACGTGCGGGACAGGTTTCAAGAGCGTTTGGCAGAGCTAGTGCCGGTGTGTTCGTGAGCATGGAGGGAGACGATCCGTTGACATTTGGAGCAGATGGACTGGATCATGAATACCCAGAGGTCCCTCCTCCCCTTCGACTCCCTCACTCTCTCATCTCCGTCCAGGGAGATCGAGCGACTGCAGCCACGAAGCTCCCCAGGCGACGGAGGCTCAGGCAGTCAGCCGATGGCATCGCAAACTTCTTCAGCCGGGTAGTTGCAAGGAGAAGGAGGAGGAGAAGCTGAGAGAAGAGCAGGGATCTCATCATGACGGAAGTGAGAATCACTGGGAACGGAAGCCCCTCAGGTTGTGCGCGAACAGCACGAGGCTGTGAGGAAGGATGAGCGAATGTTCTAGATGCCAACATGGAGCTTCCTCTCCTGCAAGAATCGCGACAAGCTGACCTGGAACGAGGAAGCGATGACTTCGGTTTGCCTCGTGCAGCAAACGAGTCGACCTCCAACGGTTCTCCTCGAGTGGACATGTATCCAGGTAAGGTGTGCAAGGAATGTTTTTTTAAGATAAGCGGAGTGGATGGCTGATGATGTTGGACGTGTGAATTTCTGACTTTGGCATTCATTTGACAGCAATCCATTCGTTTGCTCGTTGGTTGGAGAGTGCATTTCCCTTCGTGAGTACCCGGAGGAAACGAGAGGAATGGCGTGACGGGATTTGCCGACAGACTCTCCTGTTGATCTGCGTGTTCATCTACGAACACAGCAGAGGTGATAATTATATTCTTGCTCTGGCTCTCTTCGACTGCGATCTTACTTTTTCCGCCTCCCCCCTCTCTCTCTCTCTCTCTGTCTCTCTCTCTGTCTCTCCCTCCCTCCCTCCCTCCCTCCCTCCCTCTCTCGCTCTCTGCGTATCCACGAACAGGAATTCTTGTCTTCCTGTGGTTGTCGATTTTCCTGTCGCAGGCCAATGAGATCATGAGGAAGCAAGTGAGATTTTTTGTTTGTAGCGCACCTGTGATGATAGTTTGACATGGTATCAGGTATCGCTCAAGGAAAACAGAAACCTTCATGTGCTGAGCTTCTTGGTCTGGTTCATCGTCGTGCAGGTACACATAGACGAACGTCCCTGCCTTGTGAGCAGCTGGCAGGCCTATGCTGTCTATTTCCTCTTCGGCACCGAGTCTCTATGGCGCAATTTTGTGTTCCTGTCCTTCAGTTTTGATCAGGTTGATCCTGTAGGATGTTGAAGGCTCGGCGACTGATCGGCTTTGCAGAAAGAGGTTCTGGGCTTCTTCGACCTCTTGTAGGAGTATCTCGTGCGCTGCCTTGGAGTTACTCACGTGCTGTGCCTGCAGGTGGATCGTCACTCTCGATGATCTTCTTGCTCGCCATGCGGGGATGCTGATCAAGGTGAGGGCGACAGGGGAAGGGAGGGGGGGGCGGGAGGAAGGAGAGGAATGGAGGGGAGGAAGAGAAGATGCTGTCAAGGAGGAGCATGTGAGAAGCGTGTAGGCCATCTCCCTGATGGTGGTGGGAGGCTCTGTCCAACACCAGAGGACTTCTCAGGTCAGTCTGTCAATGAGACAGTCAGGATGGTGTTGACTGGTCCTTGCATCAGCTCATGAACGTGGAAGAGTGTTTGGTCTCGCTCTATCGCGACCTCATCCCCATCCCCATCTGGTGTGCGACCTTGAATCGTCGATTCATCGGCTCCTCCCTTACCGGCTACCTCATCTCGTTCACCCTCTCTCATTACTTCATCTTCTCTCCCATCCCCTCCTCCATCTTCCTGCCCGCGTCTATTCCTTCCATGTCTCTTCTGACCACGTTGCTTCCCAGGCTTCAGTTCCTTACCCACTGGCCAACGGGTCTCTACCTTCCAGGAGTTGTCCGGTAGAGAAGTTTCTCTCTTTCTCCAGCATTTCTCATGGCTCTGCAGGGGCTGCTACCTCACCCTCAAGCTAACCTGTAGGGACCCACCGCCTCCTCTCTCACCCTTGCTCTCCTCCTCCTCTGCTGATCCACAACCCCCTCCTCCTGCTCGTGATGCTTCTCTTCCCACGAATGAGCTCCTCACTTCCTGCCTCTCCCGCAGCTGTCGTCGACAAGATTCAGTGTCTCCGATCCGCCATCCAGGCCTTCATCTTCCATCAGGTTGTCCTCCTTCCCTCACCTCTCCCTGACCTCCTCCAGACGCCCTACGGTCGCTACGTGCGAGCTGACGAGCTCACGGGGGACCCTCAGGAAGACATCTGCACCATCTGCCACGACCCGGTGAGAGCCGATCGCATCCTCCTGCGGCGCTGACGGGCCTGCAGCTCTCCTCCCCCGTCCGAGTGCGATGCGGGCACATCTTCTGCGAGGAGTACTTGCAACCTCCTCTCCTCCTCCTCCCCTTATGGCATGGCAGGTGTGTCCATCAATGGCTGCAACGGGAGAGGACGTGTCCCCTCTGCCGCTCCATCGTGCGCAATGCGAGGCAGCGGCTGCGGACTGATGGGTCGACGTCGATCCTCCCTGTAATCTTTTAACATGTACAAGTAACAAGCAACCCACACATGCGCGTGTCTTCATTGAAACAGCAAACACTCTTCTTCCTCCCTTCGGCTTGCAAGGAGTGAAGGGCGAAAGATCTGATGGACTTGTCTCCTACTCTACAAGTTATTTATCACTTCATGCTTGTGAAGCAGCCAAAGCTTCGCTTCTCTGATGTTCTCAGGTTAACCAGCGTTGTCGAAACATCCGTACTCGTGACATCGGATCACAAACACTTGGTTCCTGCAGCAACAAACCGTCAGCCCGTCCATCCCTCCATCAGCCTCCTCGTCCACCTCGTCTTGGATGGCTCCTTGCCCTGGTGGCTCCTGACGTACTGCAGCACAGCATTCTCCCCGTTGATCGCAATCCGCGGCTCGCGCATGGACATCTGCATGGCGATAAGTTTGACATGGAGTGAACCAGAAGGTCTCACAAGGTTGGATGTCAACATCCCACGAGCTTCACCTGCGTCAAGAGCATCAATCACCATGCTCGAGCTGAACAGCAGCATGAGAGCCATCACTTGGACTTATCCGCCTCCACACTCTTGCCTCCACAGCTCCACACTCGCTCCCATGAAACTACTCCTCCACTTCCGCTCCAGCCCCTCTGCGACTCCGCACCTCCCCACCAACCCTTCTACTCGCATGCCGCTCCTCCCCTCCCATCCTGCTGCTCTCTTCCCCGCCATTCTGATCACCCTCCTGTCTCCCTGCTCCTCTTCAAACTTCTTCTTCTCCTCCTCCTCCCCCTCCCCCTCCCCTCCCCCTGTTCTTATGCCGATGGCAACTCTTCGCATTTTCACCCTCGTCCCCGTTCATACTTCCGATCACCCCTACCCCCTCTCTAATATCACCCTACCCTCCATCTTGATACTATAAGCATGGCAATACCTACCCTGCCTTTCTCACCACCACCCTTCACGGTAGTGTATCCGAGATGTACCTTGTCGCCTACCCCTACCCCCGTAATCATAGGCTTTTCACCCCTCCATAACAATCAAGAGGGGAAAATATGCAAGATGCTTCGAAAATGAAGGCGAAGAGAGGAAGAGAGAGAGGAAGAGAGAGAGGAGGATACAACAAGATGAGATTCCAGCACAGGTTCTCAACCTACACCTCAACAAGATAACTGTGAGGATCGAGCAAGCAAAGATAGAGGATGCTGAGCGAAGGAGTGGCGCAAGAAGCGGAGGTGAAGAGCTGGTCACAAGAAGACGAGCTAGAGGATCAGCTGCTCTTCGACGATCTCTTTCCTACACGACCAGGAAGAGACCATTCTCGTATCCTCCTTGACCTGGGAGAGGTCAGAGGGGAGCGACAGAAGGGGCATCATTGGGGTGATGAAGACATGGAAGAAGATTTTATCCGCCTCTGCTCTGCTTCCATGGCGAAATGGCGCTTGCTCGAAGATTCCCGCACTCATCATGATGCGCAGAGCTCGAGCTGGGGACCTGAAGCACAGGACCTTGCGCAGCTGACGCACGCTGCGCTGGCGACGGAGGTGCTGAAGCGAGAAAGCGGGAGAAAGAAAGACCTGGAAAAGCGACACCCACATGACGCCCATGAGCTGGAGGCCTGGCGGGAGTTGGCAGGCGAGCATGAGCAAGAAGAGCTGGAAGTGCTCAAAGACAGCAGGCAGAGAAGCTTGCTAGGAGGCAACTTAGACTACGAGAAGCTGTACTTGATGCCGCAATGCACCTACTCAAAGGTGCTTGACGAGACTGAGGGTCTGTCGAGAACTGAACGGCTGGCAGGTCTACGTGGGGAGGTTCAAGGGGAAGGAATCCAAGACGGTTGCGATCAGAGAGTTGGACCTGCAAGAATACTGGGTTGACCACAAGGTTGAACAACAAAGTGACATGAGATGTTGGGGTTGACTGGTTGGTACAGAAACTCAGACACGTGCTGCAAGAGATGAGAACGATGCGGCACCCGAACCTCGTGGGTCTGTCTTGACCTCTCGCGGCATGTGACGTTGGCACGTGACAGGTCAGGTGCTACGGCGGCAGCTATTCGCGACAAGAGCAGGTGGTCGTGGTGGTCGATGAACTGATGGACGCGGGATCTCTACAAGGTTTGTAGACATCCCTGTGTTCCCCCTCAGTCACGTCCATGTCTCACTGCCAGGTCTGATCGCCTACCTGTGGCATGAGCGACAGAAGACATGGCAAGAGGAGGAGCGTCTCATGGAGGAAACCGCCATCCGGAAAATCATGGCAGCGATCCTTCATGGGCTGAATCATCTCCATTCCAACGGCATCGTCCATGGAAGATTGAAGGTCAGGCAAACGCTGCGACTTTCTTCAGAACTGATCTTGCTCTTTTCTCCCCCATCGTAATCGTCTTCCTCTCCCTCTTCTTCATCTTCCTCATCGTTACAATGGTTTGCTTCGTACTCCCCTGCCCCTCCTCTCCTGCTTCTTCTGCGTCCTGTCGTCCTCGTTCTTGCTGCCTCCCCTTCTCTTTCACCTCGCAGCCATCAAAAATACTCTTGACATGTGCAGGACAAGTCAAGATCGGAGGCTTTGGATACGCTCAGGTCGCTCATCAACGTTTTCGACATGATCGGAATTGATCTGACGTGCACAGCTGGTGAGGAGGAGGAGAGAAGAGAAGCTGCTGGAGAGCAACAGGAAGTTCATGGCGCCCGAAGTTCTCAACGGTCAAGAGTCTTCCTCCTCGTCCGACATGTGGTCCCTCGGCTGCATCGTCTACTTCTTGAGCGCTGCTTCCTTTCCGTCTGTACAAGTCTGTCAGGTTGGCGGAGGAGAGGGGCGGAAGGCAGGTGAGAGAGGGTGAGAGGTGGTCAGGACCGTCAGCTCGATCGCTCGCGCTGCCATGACATGTCGATGAGGGACGTGGCATTGAATCTCTTCCTGCACGTGAGACCCCAGCAGAGGTTCGTTGCTTCTGAGGCTGCTCGCCGGAACTGATGGCAGGAGGCAGGAAGACAGCAGGAGAAGCTTTGGGCCTGATGAGCGTGGGGGTTTCGTTGCGTGGATGACAGGAGGAAGTGAAAAGAGACTCTTCAAGTCTTCACTTGACTGGTGGAATATTTCTCTTTCCTCGCCCTCTCCGCCTCTTCTCTTCGCTTTTTCTTCTGTAGCTCCTTCCGCATCTCATCCTTTCGCCTCTGGTAGTCCTTCCAATACCTCGCGATCTTCTTCTGTGCAGTCTCTGCCCGCAACCTTGTCTCTAGCTCGCTCATCGCCTTGTGCTCCATCCTCGACCGCAGGCGACGCAGGCGAGCCTCCTCTTGCTCGGCGAGAAAACGTTGAGGGTCAACATGCGACAACTTCGCGTGAGCCTTGAACGTCTCAGCGATCATGATTCTCCTCCTCGTCATGTAGTCTTGCGCGTCAGCCGCTCGTCCTCCCCCCACGTCAGACACCAGCATGAGCACATCTTCGGAGCTCCGCTTCTCCTCTTCCTGCGAGGGGGTCGGGCCGAGGGGTCTGAGGGCGTTGAGGAGGAGGCTTCTGTCGGGATGGAGGTGAGTGAGAGGAACGGACCCGTCCAAGGTCTCTTGCATGAAGTTTCCTCCTGCTCGCAGCAGGTAGTTGAGCAGTGGCAGGTTCCTTGCTTGTGACGCGACATGCATGGGGCTGCGTCCTTGCGCATTGGAGGTGTTGGGGTCAGCCTTCTCGTCTAGCAGGAAACGAGCCACGTCATTGTGCTCGTGCTTGCATGCCAGGAAGAGAGCGGTCTCCTCGTTCTTGCCCTCCTTCACCTCCAGGAACCACCTCTTCCAGCTCTCCGTGCCCATCTGAAGCAGCACCTTGACACACTGCAAGTGAGCGTTGGCAGCTGACAGGTGCCTGCAGCATAACTTCAGACGTCTCCCTCCTCCTCCCCTTCTCTCACAGCGCTGTTTCTCCTCTCGAGTTCCTCTCGTCGAGTCGCCGAGCTCTAAATCCGCAGCGATACGCGCTCTCTCCCTGCTCTCGCTTCAGCATGTCTCTTTCTTCCTCGATCGCTTGATGGTCGGGGATGTCATGCGGCTGCTTCACGTGCTCTAAGATGGCTCTCAGGATCTTGACAGCTGCGTCAAGGCGGGCGGGCGGAGGAGGACAAACTGACCTCGTCGTGTCCCTCCCTTGCCGCGTAGTGCAAGGCGCTCTCGAAGGCGAACCTAGGCTCCAAAGTCAACGTCCTCTCCTCCTACTAGCGCTGCCACCCTTCGATCGCCAGCGGATCAGCCTTGCCTTTGATGAGAGTGCGAACTAGGAGCTCATTGCCCGTGAGACAAGCTCTAGAGAGATTGTCAGCCCTTCAGGTCAACCTCTCTCCTGTCTCCTGTCTCCTGTCTCCTGTCTCCTGTCTCCTGTCTCCTGTCTCCTGTCTCCTCTCTCCTCTCTCTCTGACCTGTGTAATGCTGTGATCCCATGCTCCTCCTGTGCCTGAGCGTTCGCTCCTCGCTTCAGCAAAGCCTCGACAGCCTCCAGTTGATTCGCTTGGCTGGCCAGAGTGAGCGCCGTTTGACCTACCCCGTTCTTGATCTGCAACTCACTTACAAGAATATGCAGAAGGTGGATGACAAGTGACAGAGTGCAGGATAACCAGAAGAGAGAAGAGAAGGGAGGAAAAGAAACAAGGAGAAGTGAGGAGGAGCAAGGAGAAGAAAGGAGAAGGAGCAGGGAGCAGGAGAGGCGAGGGAGTGGACCTCAAGGTCGGCTCTCTTATCATGGAGGTAGTGGACGATGTGCGCGAAGCCTCTTTTAGCTGCATAGTGCCTGGGACCGATGGAGTGAGACTAGCACACGGCATGACATGCTCACATCGCCGTCATGTGCTGAATGTCCAACGCGTTCACGTCTTCGGACAGCTCCTCTACACTGTACCTTGCGACACTTGTGGGCTGCTCTTCTTGCTTGCCTCCTCTCCTCTTACCTGATCTGCTCCAACGCTCCTCGTCGCGCGTACGCATGCAGAGCGACAGCCATGCTTTTAACGGCAGCAACAGAAACCAAGGAAGCAGAGAGGGGAACAACTGTATACTTGCGAAGAGCAGCAAGAGTTTGGATACAGACGTGAACAAACAGGCAGACTTACAGACGGACAGGTTGTGAGTTAGAGGGAGAGGAAGTGAGGAAGCGTAACATCACCGTAAGAGGGCGGTAAGGAGGGAGTCATGCAAGGAGGACGGAGAGCAAGAGAGGGCAAAGAAGCGGTGAAGGAGAGGGTGAGAGAGGAGAGAGACGAGGAGGAGACCAGAGGCAGAAGCTGGCAGATCGTGGATGGGGAGCTGAGGAGGGCAGGGATGGCGAGATGTCTAGGGAGGTTGCAGGAGGTCCGGAGGAGGGAATTTTCAGTCACTTGGATTTGGACGGGATGAAGGAGAGGGAGGGGAATCGAGAGAGTAAGATTGCAAGAAGAAGACACAGGCAAGATGCGCTGAGAGATCGAAGTTGGAACAGCAGATGATGTACGACACGTGCAGCATTGTCTTCAAGTCAAAGAAGATTGCAGTGGACTGCAGTGGATTTACCATCAGATTAGAGCAAGCTGAAACAAAAGCAATCAGATTGTGATGATAGCTTGTTCCACACATGACACTTGTTATGAATTTCTGGCTTGCACGCTCGCTCAGCAAGAAATCATTTGGATTTGGACGAGACGGCGGAAGACTTTGAATCTCACACGAACTGCTTAGATCAGCCGACTGTTGATTCTCGATGATGGAGCAAGTGACATGCTACAACAGGAGTAATAAAGATCTCGTCACTGTAATCTCGTCTCCTGAAACTCAACCATTTCTGTCTCGATCTCCTATCGTCCCCTAATTCACCATGTCGATTTTCCTCTCCCCCTACTCCTTTCGCCTTCTAAGAATCCAATCTTTCCTCCATAACTCTACTCCTGCCTCCTCAACTTCCTCACTCTCATCACCATAGCATGTTTACTTCCTATATCCTGGTTTCCTCCAACTTGTCTGCGTCAGACAGTACCCATTGACATCCATCTCGCCTTTTAATCAACCCTTCAGCTGGCGGCTTCCTTCCTCCCCCGCCGCTGGTAGTCAGGATGCCGCACAGGGCAAGGCAGGGAGGTTTCAAATCAGCATATCTCTGGCACCCTTTCCTTTAATCGCTCAACCCCTTCATACCATCTCGTTAGATCTCATTTCATACCTGCGGGGACTTTTTCACCGCTCCCCCTCACTCGAATGCAGGAGTGCCCTCTGTAACGCCCTTGAAGAAAGGCAGGTGCAAGATAGCGATTGTGAATGGAAGAGCCTTATATATCAGGTTGCCTGTGTTGTCAAGCACAAAATCTCTCAACTGAAAAGCAACACGTAGAGGTCAGGTAGATGCTACTCACAGCAAGCTCAAGAAAAACTTACGTTGACGAATGCTCCACAGAACCTGTCCTTGACAGATACCAGAAGCTCCATGGGATCAAGGAGGATGACCTTCGATTTAAACTTTTGATACTCATCTTTGTGGTCGATTTTGGGGACTTTTGCCAGCATTTCCCTCTTCTCCTTTGGATCCAACACAATCTTCTCCTCCTCAACCATTTTCTTGGTTTCCTTCAGGCCTGCCAGCTGCGCAATACTTCCGCCCCTCAAGCACAGTGAATGTTGAACACTTTCGCCCAGTCCCACTGCACATGGCGTCATCGCCATTAGCAGCATCCCCGCCATTATCCACTTCAATACCCCGGCCACCATCGTCGCGTAAAGATTGACCACATCCCCCCACATCTTGTTTTCTCTCAGCTGCAGTCACGCTGTCTCTCACGGGCCTCCGCCGGCGGCCCGGGCCCGTTACTGGGCCGGCGGCCCGGCGCCGGCAGCCCGGGCCGGACCGAGCTCTGAGCCACGGTGGCACAGGCCGGGCTCGGCGGCGGCGACCAGGGTCGGCCCCGGAACTTCACTTGAGTCTTTACTCAAAGTTAAGTCAAAGTTCAGTACCAGGACAATGACCTTTCGCCTTGGAGTTCCCAGCGGCCTGATGACCAGTCATCGGATGCGTGAGCCTACCCTACCCCATCTCAGTCAGTACCATACCCCCTGGTTTCGTTGTCCGTCAGGCAGCTTGGCAGTGGTAGTCCGCATGATGGCCGGGGGTCCTGCCTGCGATCGGATAGTAGGGCCCGAGAAACCCTACCCTTGAGTCAAGGAGCCAAGATTGGGAATAGTACCGGTGGTCCTCCAACAGACCTCTCGACGGTTTCAGATCATTTTCAGTACCCCAACGGGTGTATATTCCCAAGCGGATACACCCACCGTCGATGGAGCTCTGCTAGGGGGGGTGGCAGGCTGAGGGTCCTTCGGGTGGCTGAGGGGTAGAATCCTGAGGGGGGTCCATATGGGCCTCATAGTTATCCAAGGGATCCCTTCGACCAACCCCTACCTCGGATGTGAATATGATGCTAGGATACGGACCCTACCCCACAGTCCATCGTTCTACCAACCACCCCCACCCTGGACCATATGGACAGCAGGAACCCCGACTTCCTCCATCTCGCCTCTTCTCACGGTCCTCGGCTTCATGGCTCAGATGATGTCGCTCGCCTCCGCAGCAGCCGCTCCTCCCAACCTCCCTGAAGGAGCCAGGTCTAACCATCCTCCTCCTCCTCCATCTCAACCGCCTTGTCACCATCATGATCCTCGTCGGCGGCAGTGCTCTTCTTGCTTGTTTCGTACTTCTCGCGTCAGCGGTCGTTCTCACAGCATCCTCACTTTGCAGTTGCTCCTTCACAGCACCTTCCTCTCACACATCCAATACTGATGAATTTCTCTCGCATTGAGAACAGTGTACCTCCTTCTACTTTACTTTTGCCCATCTTGTTGCTTTCTACTTCCTCCTCGTCCTGATTCCTCGTCCCCCGAGATAGATACATTTCTTCACGATGCTGTGGTCAAAGATTGCAATGGCACCTCACTTCAGCTACATGTCCAGTGCACTTTCACTCACCCCCTCAGTCAGGCTCGAAGGATCTTACAAGACCTCAACCGGGTCGATCATCGATCGCTACATCGTGCCTCAGCGAGGAGTGGTAAGAGATGGCCTTGCTTCCACTTGTCGGCGGGGGTGATGAAAAGTCCGGTAGATTCCTGTGAGATCTGTCATCCCAGAGGTCCAGCAGTACCAGGTTCATGGAACTGCTACAGTACCTGAGGTGCGTTACCACGAGGAATATCCACCTCTGCAGCTTCTCAACAAGACTCTGGCAGGTGAAGCAAGTTCAAGTTCCGCGTCAAAGAATGGTGCAAGTGAAGGAGACTGTCATGGTGACAAGTCCGCATTGAGAGAAGCGCCTCTTGACTCCTGGTCTCAAGGTTCCCCAAACTCGGATCAAGATGGTTCCAGAAACCGTCATGACCACCCAACAAGTCACGACGCAGAAGCCCGTCCGAGTAACGCCGAAATGTTTTTGCAAGCAAATTCAAGTGACAATTCTGCAGACTGTCCAGACAATGCAGAGAACAGTGAACAAGGTGGTCGAGGGCCAGAAGATTGTTGAATCTCAGCAGGTCCGTCGCGGACCATACAGTCTTGGATGTGAAAGAAGAGTAGGTGCTGGAGTACGAGCGTCCAAAACTTATCCAAGGTCGCTTCTTGGGGGTGAAGCAAACTACGCCACAAGAGGTCAAGCGGGATGCAGCTCAAGTAATCAGATTGTGAATCAGTTTTGTCTTGCAGGTGGATCTCCGATGGACTACTGAGTATTACCAGCAAGAGTCGGTAAGGGGTGGCATGGTATTCTTGTTAAAATGCTGATGCAACAGCACCGCCAGCAAGCAGTGACGTCTTCGGTTCCTTCAGTGTCATACGTGCAATCACCGAGCCGGGTGCAGTATGTGACGAGGCCTGCAGTGACGCAGTACATGACACAGTCAACGATGCCCTATGGCATGGTGCAATCTGCTCCTTATGGGACGCAGCAACTCCTGGCCTCTTCCAGCCCTCCCATCGCTCAGAATGGTGATTACGGATTTCAGTACGGAAGTCAGATGCCATACCAACAGATGCCGGATGGTGAGCGAGCCTGAGTGATGCTATTGCTTTCATCTCACATCTGCTTTCACAGAGCACAGCGTGGGACCAGGCAGCAGCAGCATGTATGGAACTGTTCCCGGATACTCCAGCTTCGACAACAAGCCACCTGCTTTCCAATACACAGACGAGCACATTGCTGATGCATGAGCTGTGTCATTCTTCTGGCAGTCACATACGGTTGTTCCATGTAGCAGTTTTTACTGGTGATGCATTTACAAACATTGTGAGAGATGTACAACTGATTTTGGATTAAACTACTTATACAAAATTCCCTGCGATCTCTGGTTTGGATATTTTCAAGCACAAGATCCGATGTCACCGATTCCGTACTCCATGCACTTGATATCAGGATTCCACGAGAAAGGAACTTCTCCCTTCCAAGCCTTACGCCAATCGCAAGGAACAAGACGTACCCTTCTGAAGAGATGGTACAAGGTGTTGACCTTGGGGACTTCTGGGAACATTGCTTCGACCTCGGAGCGGAACTGAGCGCCACAGCCCGGCTTGATGTAAAAGCCGGTCCATCCAAGGAATCCCATCTTCTCATCAGCCGGATGCACGAACTGCAGAGGGGTGATGATCTCTCTCTGCATCGCCCTGTGAAGAAACAACAGGAGGCTCTCCTTCTGGCACTTGAGATTGAGAAAGGAACAAGTGCTCTTCTGCTCCGCAAACGAAGGATGGACATCCATGGTTCGGTTCACCTCGTATTCCTCTCTCATCCTTCGTACTTGTTCGTGCCAGTGAACCTGACCAGCCCTGGCTGTCTTCTGCATGTCAGGGTTTGAGCGAATGTGCTTTCCGCGGTTGGTCTCTAGCGCTCGTTGAGAGAACCGTTCTTCTGACTTGTCATCAGAGTCAGAGCACGACGAGCTCTCAGTGCTGTAGACAATCGCACTCTGTTCAGCACGTTGGGGCTGTTGCTCACGAATTTCCTCCTTAACTTCCGCCTTGACTGTGTCTTCGTTCTTCACTTCAGGTTTCGCTTCATCAGCATTCTTCTGGTTCGTCAGCTGATTCTGAACTGCGTAAGACCACGAAAGCAGTGCGTTGCCATCATTAGGAGACTCGAATCCGAGCTGCAGGAACCCTTGCGGCGTCTCGATCTTGATCTCCGTTACTTGGGCATCACCTTGATCACCAGTAGCCCAGTCAAGCTTGATGCGCTTTGACTCGCGTTCCATCTCATCCGATGCCAACATGCAGTCCAAGGACTCCACGTCCCACCCTGGCTGGTGAACGCCCTCGGCTGGTGACAGGGGGCGCTTCAACGATACAGCCTCGGACCAATCTGAGATCCAACAGGAGGTGATGACATTGAGAGTTTCGACCAAGACGGACGATTCATCAAGGCATGGATCCATCACGGGATTGCAAATGTCATTGCCATTTGCAAACCTCGGAGTGTTGAGGTTGCTTGACAGCCCAAGCAAGGAATCGCTGGGAGAGTCCAGATTGGAGCAAGGCAAAGGAAACATGTGTCCCTGAAGCAAGAGATCTTGCAAGTCCGATTCTTCACGCTTGAACATTCTGAGAGGCAGCAATCCAGGACAAAGGTTGAGTGGGGACAAAGACCAGGAGGACTAGGGAAAGTACAAAGGAAGGAAAGTGGTTGCGTGAAGGCACGAAAGACAGGGAACGAGGAGAAGACTGGAGGGCAAGAGGATGAGATAGGAGTGAGAAGAAGGAAGAGGAGGAGAAGAGGAGAGGAGAGGAGCAGAAGGGAGGAGTGGCGTGTACGGAAAGGGAAGACGGGATTTCAGTTGTTTCCTTTGCCTTCCCCTTGGCATTATATTGATGAGTCCCTCCACGTTTGTGGGGTGGGTATATGCCGGGGCGGGGTAGGGTATGAGTATAGTTTTCTTGCTCGTCCACAACCCACATGGGGTGGAGAATAATGAAGGCCAACTAGGGGTATATTTGAAGATGAAAAAGGGGGTACACACATATTTTTTTAAGATTGAAGAGGGTACTCAGAGTTAAGGGGAGGGGGACGCTGAAGTGTGCTGGGTCCCATTTGTCCAAGGTAGGGTCCAGGGTAGGGGGTAACAAATGCATCAATATTCTAAAAATAAAATTGCAAAGCGAAATTAATCTTCTTCGATAACACTATTTTGAAAAAGTTTCTTTTCGATAAAACAACAATGGAAAACACTATTTTTGAATTCCGGAAGTTTGATTGGTTTACCACACAAATGCACTAAATTGTACAGAATCGAAGGGTAGGGTAGGGTATACAAAAGTGGTGGTCTTCCCTTTCGCCCCACCTCTGTACCTCACTTTTCCATGAATTTACGTATAAATGATGGGGTCTCTATCTCAATGCGCAATCCGTCATAGGTGGGGTATTGTTGAGAGAAGGTAGGGTCAATCAAATGCAGTTTGTTTATAGGGGCGGAAGCTCTATTAATGGATGCATCAGTTGAGATAAGGTCAAGATCACGGTGGACACCTGTAGAACATCCTACCATCCATCTATCATGTGATCACCCCACCTTCCTGATCGAAAATTGTATCTCCACCCTACCCACTTTCATTTCGCTTACTACCCACCCTTGTAATAATGTGAAGTTCATCCACCGGACCAGATCCCCCAAATCTCATCTCTATTGACAGGGTTCTTGCTATCATCTACCCTCTTCAAGAGAGACATACACCCCTTGCAAATCTTGACAACCCACTGGTAAGCTTCCTCGAGATACGCTCCATGGTCTACGACCACCCCACCCTCATTCACAGTTGTCTGTTCGGGCGAAACGAACTGACTACCCCACCCCTCTGTTTTAACTTGGGCACAAAATTTATAACGGATCTCTCTCCTTAATCTGATCTTTCTCTTTTAATCCATTCAATATGTAGTATTAAACAGAATTTAAAGCTATTAATCTTTGTCTGGGTGTTTTTAATTCCTTTGCTGCTTGCCTCTAATCATCGCTAATCGCCACCTTTGCCCCTACCCTTCCCCCTACCCCTCTCTAGTGCCTTGAGGAGGTCCCCTCCTGATTCCTCGCCTCTCCCGGCTTCCATTCGCTTTCCACCATCTCATGTCCCCGACATTCGATCACCCCATTCACCCACTCCTTTTCCCGGCTCTTAACCCCCACCACTCCTTTTGTCGACCTCTACCCCTTCTTTCGAGCGCACCATCCTTGGGTTCTTTTTTTGCCTTTACGACCTACCGGCCTGTTAGGTGTCAGCTTATCTTGAGGACCCACCCTTAAGACTGTCGAATCTGGGGTTACTTCTTAATGACCACACATGGTTTCAATTTTGGATATCAATATTCACAACATTCGGTAAACATTGAAATATACAGACATCAGGCTGAAATTGATGCCAGAATTATCAGTTTGTTCGTCACCTTCTTTATCTGCTTTGTCCTGCCCTTTTCTTCTTATATGATATCTTGGTGAGGCGGGTTGGTATACATATGTGTCCATTCCACTTGAGTAATAAACGAGTTTCGCGCCCAACCTATCACATCGATTTGTGGAGCTTGGACGGGCAATGAAGCGCGTCATTTCGGGAGGAGGGCGTGATAGCAAGCGAGCGAGATTGAAGCAGAGCATGCGATCAAGAAAGGTGAAACACAAAAAATATCATCCTTCCTCTTGCATGTATCTCCTCTCGTCTCTCAACATTCCCCTCAAAACACGCACCTCAGATTCTTTGTCTCCCCATGTTTCCTTGATGCTTCTAGTTTCCCTTAGTGCGATTGTCCCTTCCCCTCCCTGGACTTGATTCGATAATTCATCCAAGTATGGAAACAGGGTCTGATGGAGATTTCAGTTGATAGAGGACGCGTACAGGAGGAACTTACCTGAGGGCATCGCGAGAACAGACAGCAAGCTTGAGCAGAAGCATGTTGAACTAGAGCTGCAAGATACGCTTGGAGACATGCTACCTTGGGCGTACATGCTGTTGGAGAGGAACATGAAGAGTCTGTATGAAGGCAGCTGGGGTTGGGACGAGGAGAAGAAGCGCGAGGAGCTTGTCTCTCGCAGAGCTAGGTTCGTGATCGCCTATCACGTCCAGGACAAAAGCAGGGATCCAATCGCCTTTGTCCATTACCGTTACGTACAAGAAGCTCGCGAGCCGGTAGCAGCTTGCAAGCCAACATGAGGTGACGGGGAACAACAGGTGGTGTACGTGTACGAGATACAGATCGACGCTCTCTTCCAGGGGCTCGGAATTGGGCGAGCCTTGATGACAACGGTGAGAAGTGCCTGCTTTAGTGCTCTCGTCAGCTCGTGGAGCAGGTGGAAAATATTTGCAAGGAGCGAGGGCTGGATGCCATTTGCCTGACAGTCTTCACTGAGAACGAGGGGGCGATGAGATTTTACAAACGACGTGCGCGGGCTTTGACGTCGCTTTTTACCCTGACACTCCATTGCAGTTGGTTTTGAACAAGACTGCGACTCTCCCAAAGATAGAACGTGGAAGATCATGTGCAAGAGAATGAACTCATCATGATGAAATGACTTCTTGTCTTGTCAGGCTAATTTTTCTTCACTCATCGTCAATCTGTCAGTTTCTCCCAAGAACATTCATCAGCAGTGATCGCATGACCCCAACGTCTTTGTCCGAATTCTTCGTCTCCTCGTCCGCCTGCAAGCCAGTCAGCACAACCTCACGAGGTGCAGGAGAACAACCTCTGCATAGAGCGCCTCGAACTGATCGAACTGCTCCCTTGCCTGCTCAACGTTATCGACATACCACAGACGACATTTCCATGATCATCGTCATCGCCAACGTCAAGCAACATCACGAAGAGCTCCTTCACTAACACTAGCACTACAAACAACAGCAGAAGCAGCATGTTCTATGTTTCTGTGACTCTCACCTTGTCCACCTGACCGTTGTTCACAAGCATTACAGCATAATTGAGGTGGAAAAGAAAGTCGCTATCCATCTCGATCGCCTGCTCCACTTCAGCTCTCACTAGTAAGGGGATCATCACCTTCTCGTATGCGGCACACGCATTGTCGTAGTCGTCCAGCCGTGACAGAGCGATCGCCAGCTGCCTGGAGGTGCAGCATGAAATGAGCGTTGGAGTCAGTGCTAGGAGGGAGAGGAACATGTAAGAAGAAGGGAAGTCCGGCTTGAGGTTGATGGAGGAGCTGAAATAGTGGAAGGCAGAAGCATATTGCTCTGCAGCTTCACATCAGATCTTGTCTTCTCCAAGGATACAGCACCTGTATGCAGGTGGACGAGACCCAAGTTGTATGAGATGATCCACTCGAAGGGGTCGAGGTAAAGTGCTTTCTTCAGGCACGCGATGGCAGCCACATGCCGCTGGAGGGAGAGGTGAAAACAAGCAGACGCACACACGGAGGCCAACCTGCTTGCCGAAGAAGCACATGCCGATGTTGTTCCACAGCTGTGCGGAGTTCGGGGTCTGAACAGCAGCAACACGATACTTCACGAGAGCGACGTCCATGTCGGAATGATCTTGTATGATCGATCCTGCATGGATGCATCAGGACAAGCACCGCAGGCGACAACTCTTGTCTTCACCGGCCGCAAGGATTGTCTTAGAGTTTCGAGGATCATGCGTCAGACTGTTCCCAAGGAAGTCGAAGGCACGGAAGTTTTCGCCAGTGCGGAGATAGAGAAGTCCGACGGTGGTCAACCTGTGTGAGTTGAAGCGAAAATCAGCACAAGTTACCAACTCATCCATCAACTAACAGCTCAGGGTTCTCCGGCGAAAATTCCAGCGCTTCCAGGTAAACATCGATAGCCTCCTGATATTTCTCCTCCTGCGTGAGGATCTGGCCAAGCTGAATGAAGGTGCAGTCGTGCCTCTGGATTGAGTTCGCTCGCATCAGTGCGTCCTTTGCGTCCTCGAGCCTCTTCAGTTGGCTCAGGCACATGCCCTTGTTGTGCCAGATCTCCCAGTCCTCCGTGAAGCCCAACCGGATCGCCTCGTCCAGCACTTCAGAAGCAGCCTTGTGTCTTCCGAGGAGAAACAAGGATCGGCTGATCTGAAAGAAGTGTCAAACAAGACCTGAGGATCATTGGAGAGCTGCCTGTTTGATCGTTTCTACATTCCTGGGATTGATCTGCCCTGCCTGTTGGAACAAAGAAAGCGACTCATGTATCTTTCCCTGATGTCTTGTTATCAAACCCTGATGGTAGATCAGAATCATAAGATGTAGATCGAAAAGTCACGACCTTGATAAACAAGGGATATTCAGCTAATTGATCCACTTTCTTGAGAGTATCGTCTATCAATTCCAAGCACTCATCATATTCCTTCCGAATATATAGCCAGTGAATCAGATAATTGCGCTTCTGACGTTGTTCTTTGGAAAACGTCTTGAATAATGATCAGATAGAAATCGCATGTGACTCTTGCTTACCTGCTTCTTCAAGACTGAAGCCATGAACAAATGTTAAACAGAATGAAATCAAGCCATTCTGATAAAGATCTGGAGATATGTTAGAGTTTTGACATCCTCGAGTTATGAGTTTATACAAAAGAGCAATCGACCAGGCTAAGTTCCAAATTCCTTGTAAGATCTTACATTTTTAGTAAGATCTTACAAGGAATTTGGAACTTAGCCTGGTCGATTGCTTACAAGGAATTCCAAATTCCTTGTAAGATCTCCTATGCACCGAATCCGGTGCATAGGAGATTACATCTACTTCTCACTGCCCTTCTTTTGATCCAGTTCGATTCATGGCAACCAAAAGCAAAAGATCAGATGAGGGTCCTTTTTGTGGCTCAATCTGATCATTCTAGACATGATGCTCTTTCATCCCTTTCCTCGACACCGTCATACTCCCTGCACTACTTCTATGCTTCATCCTATTCACTATCTCCGACTCTGACTTCTGTTGCTGCTTTCCCTCCCTCCCTCCCTCTCCCTCTCCCTCTAAGTCAGCTGTAAGTTAGAGCATGCTGCTTCGTGGCCTGTGACTGCAGCCATGAGTCGGGACGACAACATTTTCTTGAATCCGTCGCAGCCGTTACATAGCAACTGAAAGTCGTTGAACTATCCCGGGACAAACAGTGCGGCGGCCGGGCGGTAGTGGCCGGCCGGGCGGCCAGGGATGGCCGCGGCGCCGGGGCCACTCAGCCGGCATGTGGCTGGCCCCGGCTGTCGGACCATGACCGTAACCGTACTGAGCCACGGCAGTGACGTTGCCCACCGCCACAAGTCACTCACTGAGAGTCAGTAGTAGCCGGCTCGAAGGCCTCAAAATTGAGAGAACACTTGTGGTCTTTATCATAGTATGAAAATCGATTCAGAGGCAACAAGTGCCATCGCAGTAGGATCGCCACCTCGTCAAGTAGAGTCGCTTCATGCACGGGCCGCGAGAGGTTGAAGCGAATTCAACCAGCGCCAGACTGAAGTAAAATCGCAAAAGAAGAGACTGCCTCCTCCACTTGCTGAAGAACTGGTTCAAGAAGAGTTCAAGGTTGTCAGAGATTTGCATACAAGAGATGGAATGACATATCAGAATCCGCTTATCACATTCCATCAACGAGATCGTCTGATTTGCTAGAAGGCTGTTGGAATTCGTGCTTTTTGTCCTCCACTCTGAAAATCTTCTCCGTGTCGAATTGCGAGATATCCTTCGTTCAAACGTGTTGAAAACTTTCTTCATTTTGGTCAACCATTTCCATCTCTCCAAACATATCATTCTGTATCGCATGATGCAATGCTGCTCGAACAGAAAGGAATTCAAGACACTCTGAAACTTCGTGCCATGCACAAGCGGATGCGCTTTGAAGCGAGATTGTGACCTCGAATTATTTTTGAAAAACTCCATTTTCTTCCTCATCGCATGGAAATGTTTCCATGTTTGCAAGAATCCTACAAGACAGCTTCTCTTTTGCCGCACAAAGTCTCTCCATTTTGAGATAATGTTTTTGTTGGTGATGATGGTCCATTTCACTTTGAGGAAGGCACATCCAAAGACAACTGGAATGTGACTTCTGGCCAACATCATGCTTTCAAACCTCACATATGTCAAGAGGGATAAACTAATTCTCTCTTCAAATGACTTTGACTCTTCAACCCATGACGAAAAGTAAATTCGTTTCCTTCTGTGATCGAATCTTCGGGATAGTGATTCACTTGCCTTCATGGAGATATCTTCACTCTTTTGTGATTCGGAAACAATCTGCCTTTGAAGCTTCAAGATTGCTAGATTTTGAAGTGTTTGATTAAGCTGAAACCTTCGAAAAAGAGTATGTACATGTTGATGTTTCCAAATCAAAACAGAACGTCGTTTCAGTCTCTTGAGTTTTTTGGTATGAAACTGTCTCATGATAGTCGATCGTGTAGACGAAAGTTTCGACCTTTGAAACCAAGTTGAAAGCCATCTTCTCGTGGATAACCTGAGTAGCGTGATGCGAATCTTCTTCAATAATTTACCGAGAAGTGAACAATATTCCCAATGTCGAACGCAGTTCCGTACTGAATACAAATCATGAGCTTGATGAATGTGTCTCTCTTTCGTCATTAGCAGGATTGTATCACAAATACGTTCACGCCATCTCAACCACACCAATCGAATCGTCCTTCTTGTTTTGAATGCAACTATTCTTTTCATTCTCTCAGAATGATCTCTTTGAAACCACAAGCACTCCTGCCAACGTCTCATTGAATCACGTATCATCTGACGGTCGCTCATCCCTCCAAGCACTAAGGATTTCATATGCAGACTTTTTCTGTAGTGCAATCCACCAGTCCAATTCGACCACGAAGCAAGCAAGATATGATATGACACCGCAACCCGGGTTTTCTTCGCTTGCTTTCTGTTGCTGCAGGATCGGTTGGCTTTTTGTCGCCAAAGATCAAATATATTTTCAATGACATGTGTCTTGGTTGCCTGGTGTAAAAGTCTGATAATCCGAGTACATACATCTGCCCTCTTTGTTGTAAGAAACTCAATTGTCGATACCAAGTCAATTTCATGTACAATTCCTCTGCAGAAACTCCAATGTCTAAAGTAAACTGATCGAGACATGTAACGCTTGCGTTCTGCAAATGAATCAATTTTCTTCCTGAGATTGCACTGATGAGCTGACTGAATTCTCCATTCCGTAAAAAATTTGTTGTTGAAACGAAAGTAGTCCATCAATAATGAATCAAATTCTTCTTCTTTGTGCTTCATGGATGTAAAAGCTTGTTTTATCCGAAAATAAGATCGCCTGTTGTCAAACCATGCTACAATCCTCCTTTGTCGACATCTCTTTCTGGTATTGATGAGCCATTCGGTCATCATCCTGAAGAGGGAGTGTTTCTGCCTCACCGGCAGGCATTTAGTGGCATGCTCTTCTCCTTTAAAACATGGAGTTTCCATCGACGACCCATGCCAGCAAGAGATCGCGTAGTGCGATAGACTGATTTCAATCCTCCTTTTCATTCTTTTGATTCCTTTTGAAAGCATTGATTGTCTCGCCGAAACCTCTGACCAGACAATCAAATATTTGCTTTGCAACAAATGCAAGACTTTTCTTCGGAACTGCATTCGAAGATTCATTTCGCAAATGATTGCTGAAATCTCACCTTCTGAGCAATCTTGGACGTCCGAGCCCTTGCACTGCAATACATGTTCCAATCGAAAAACGTTGGGCAAACGATTCTCGGGATTGCTGTCTTTAAATAAATCCAATCTCTCCACACGATATCTTGGATTTTCTGGCATAAATCTCATTGAGACGCGAGGAAAACACCGTACAATCACCTTTTGCCTTCCTAATTGATAGCAATCGCTAGATTCAGATCTTTCCTTTTCTTCTAATTGCCTCTTCAGATCTTCATTTTGTGCTTTGAGTCTTGCGAGCGTCTCCTCAGTTACCTGATTTAGTAAAAGCAAACTATAAGACGAGATGCGATCATCGATCGTCGGAAACATTCTACCTTGGCATATTGCCTTTGCTGTGAAATAAACTCTTCCAACTTCCTCCTTAGCATCTCTTCGACAGTTTGTATCGCCATGACCTGCACCTCAACAGCTTCTAGAAGCATGGCGTGCAATCACGCGCAATGGATGCAGATCTCTCGCCTGGGGAACCGTTAACTTCGGGTATCCTCTGCCATCTGTCGAGGCGGCATGGGATGGAGGAAAAGGGGGAGGAGAGCAAGAGACACGAGTAAAGCAGGAACTGAGGCAAGAAGAGCTCCAAGACAGGAGTTCCCAGCAGACGGAGCAGCAAGTGACTCAAGGATGGCTAGTCGAGCAGCGGGATAGCGGATTGCAGGAAGCCAGGGATGCACCCAGCGGGGAAGCCAGGGGTGGAGCAAGGGGTGGAGCAAGGGTAGTGGAGCAGGGTGGGTAGTGGGTCTGGCAGAGGCTGAGACCAGGGGTGGATGAACGTGGGTATGTGGAGGCATGTGGGGTAGACTAGGTTGAGGGGGATGAGGGGCACCGCTGGCAGTGACGGAGCCTACCACAAAGTGACTATGCTTCGATTACGTCGAATGATTCCCAGAGAACAGCGATTCATCGCCGACTCGCAGGTCGATCTTCTACCTTCCTCCCTTGCCTCTCATCTCAGTGGAGCATGATGAACATGATTCATCAGATTCTTTCCGAGTTCATCCCTTCCAAACACTTCAAGTATCGGCCGAATTGTTACGGACAAGTACAACTTTCATCTTTGTTGTGACAGAATGCTGAAAAACTTCACAGGATACAACATCAATGGCAGAATGCAAGAGGAGCGAAATTGGACAAAAAGCGTATGAGCGAAGGTTTGAAGTTCAGTAACGGAAAAGGTGCATCAGGTACTGGGAATTTATCAAAGCGCTTGAAAAAGTAGATCAAGTGGAGAAGGGGTAAGTCAGATCAAGTCGATGAGCATGCAATAGTTGATGTCTATACAGCTGGAATGAAGTTGCTTTGGAGGTGCAGAAATGTTCTTGCGTGACAAAACGTCTTACTATTGCGACGTGTCCATGGTCTCAGAGTTGCGAGGACGAACCTCTGGTCTCGAGATATGTCGAAAGACTGAGGGAGCGAGCAGAAAGGAATGACCTGTAAAGCGATTAATATTCGTTTGATTGTAACTATCATCTGCAGATCTGCTGATAACGTCATACTGAAAGGTGAACAAGAGGCTGGAGCTGTCGTCAACAATCAAACTCTTGCTCCAGGGCTCGATCGTCCAGCCATTCGATTTGGAACATTCAAGTACGAGTTTCACATGAGCTGGCATGGTTGAGATGTTCAAGGCACACAGATACTTGACAAGCAAACGAGAAGAGCATTTTGACTCCTCAGCTACCGTCATGTCCTGCGCCACTCTTGCGTTGTACGCGTACAACATCTGGAGTCAATACACCGGAATTTTGAGGATCACCGATGACAACATGATAAAGAATAGGTGAAGTAGCTCGATAGCCACTGCCTTCACAGCTGAAACAGTTGCAGGTGGATTGACATCAATCTGCTGGTCTGTCTGGATGTGGGCTTCTTGTCACGACTGAAGTGATGTGGATAGGACTTGCTATGGTTGTACTTTTGCTGGAAGGAATGCTTCTTGCTATCTGTACCGGTCTCTCTAGTGATAATTGGAGTCCTCCTTGCTTTCGTTACAGCAGCATTGTCTCCTGCCGTGATAATAGCAAAACATATGTATAAGAATGTAAATTGGAACACAATCTTGCTCTCGCATGTTATTCCAGCGATCCAGGTTGATAAAAAAATCTCACATGTATGCATATGGGTCAAGTGACATGGATGCAGGATATACTGTATCTGACAGCTTTTTCTGTTTTGAACCTGTCTACCTCCTGGAGAATGATAGTAATTGCCGTCCAGGTATGAACAAAGATATGCCATATTGAAATTTACAGAGCCTTTATCCAGATTTTCCAGAAGTCAGTAAATCCAAGTTTGAAGGATTTTAGTGTGGTGTTGACCACCATCTCAAATTTGATATTCGACATGGTATTTGTTTTTATCTCGGTCCTCCTTGTTTCATCGGTCGCGTTTGTTAGGTTATTGTGATGCTCCTGGAACAGCAAGACAAACCATCGGCGAGCGGGCAATTGCCATCTATCCTCATCAGTATGGGGAGATTGCTGGTGTGGAGTAGATTCAGATTGAAATCTTTTGTATCTAACAATCGTCTTCTCAGATCGTCTTGAATTCCCAACACATGGTTTTAGATGATATTTGTGACGTGCTTAGAGATATCAACGAGAATCGCCTAAACAAGTTTGAATTGGCTTTGAGCCTCGTTAAGCTGCAAGAACGTCTCCTCGATGATGATATTCAGTATGCCGAAAAACATTTATCGCAAGCGATTCAGTGATAGCAAACATTCAGATACAACTTCGTGGAACACTTTTACACAGGAACCAATGTGCCTTTCATTCCTGATGTATGAATTCTACTCATAACGCTTCATCTGATTTTGAAATGCAGACTGATAATGTAGATAGAAACAGACTAGAAGTGAAGTCAGAATAGAAACAGGGTGGAGTAAATACATTCTTGTGGTCGTTACCTCCTTTTATTATCAAACTTACTCTCCACAATCTCACGTCATGAACGTCAATGATTCTTCAGGATTCAAGCTTCTTCCCTTCATTTTCTCTGTCTCATGTTTGACTTGAGAAGTCTCTTCGAACGTTTTGCGAATTTCGTTTTCAATGCCTTGATTGATTGAGCTGTTCACGCTCTGAGAATCTCTGTAAAGCTCGTCTGAAGCTCCATTTGATGACATGTTGACTTTTTTCAGCTGGAAAGACGTCAGGTTCATAGAGTCTTGTAAGGGCATCACCTGGGAGAGAAGGTTCAAGAGGGAGTGACCTGGTGAACTGCCTGAGCTAAAGTTGTTCTCATCTGATGAACCATCTGAGTCCATGAACAGAATTTTGTCGCCCGTTGTGAACTCAAGGCTGAAGAAGATTGCTACCAATGCGAGTGACTTTCATACAGAAGAAGAGCTCCACGCAACTACCTCTTCGAGTGACTGGAAGTTGCTTGAGAGTATTCGAGACTTCTTCTTTCTTCATGCGCAGTCGTCGAATAGTCGTTTCAAATTCTGTGCAGCAAGGTTAGTCTATCACTTGGTATTCTCCACCATGAGGACTAGAACGACCTGCTTCCATCTGCAAGAGGGACTTCATTGCTAACCTACACTTGATGGTGAATGGTTCCCTGCCATTCTCGCATTCCAATAATTCGAGTTCAAAGTTCATGAAATTGAAAGCTTTCATAATGTCGTTGAAGAGAGCGTTTTGAAAATTCATTCCTTGTAGTTCGACGTACTGCACACTCTCCATGAGGATGATACAAACCTCTCCCAAGGTCAAGGGGGCTGAATTCTCATCTTGAGGATTATTTGCATTCCTTTGACCACCATCTTCGTACTCATTTTCACGCTGCATCTGCTTCCTTGATTGTACATACGCTTCATTCGTGTATCTCTGGGGAATTCCAATGTAATCTGATTGTGCAACATCTGATTTTGAAAACCATCATTGCAGAAATGACGAGTGTCTTGGTATACCTGAGTTTTCATTGGAGTACAAATATAAATTGCTATTCGTCATAGACAATGGAATTGTTGCAAAGAACGATCCCTCATCATTCCTGAGTTCCAAAGTAACAAAATTCCGATCTGGCTCATCTTCAAGCACAATCATCATATAATCACAAAACTGAGCTGATTATCGCATACCTTTAAAGCTTTTTACGATTTCAGGAATTTTCATATCTTCGACAGGTTTGCTGTTAATTGAAATGATTTGCTGCAAGACAAATTAAAAGACTGGAAAATGATCACTGAGATGAGTTTCTTACATCCTTTGCCTTGATGCGGGTAAGTGTCGATGCAGGTGATCCTGGAAGGACTGAAATGACTCGAATCGCACCAATCTGTAAGTAAAGTCAAATTTGCCGACGAATGAGAGAAACTACGGTGGAAAAGTCTAAAATCAGGCCAGTCTGCAAAATCTTTGATGTTTCTAACTTTGTCTCCTCGCCATGCTTACGAACTTCCCAAGCCTGAATCAATTGCAAGTTTTGCATCATTTGACTTTTGAAGAAAAGAGCGAAAAGGTTGAACCTCTTGTTCAAGCTTTCCATTGCTCTTGCTTGTCTTGCTAGTTGCATCAAGTTGGTTGGCTGTGTACTGGTATGAAGCCAAATTTTGCACACTAATCTCGTCTTTTCTGAGCAAACGAGGTGCAGGAACACGTTTCAGAAGGGCAGGGGCAGGGGCAGGGGCAGGGGCAGGGGCAGGGGCAGGTGCTTGAGGTCGGAAGGGAGGTGGATGCCAAGCCATCTCAGACGAGTTGAGATATCGCGTCCGATTGCTTTCAAGCATACTGCTGTCAAAGGAGCTCCTGGTGTTCTGCTCCCTCAAATCCGGAAGAAATTCGAACGAGCTGCGGTTTGATTGCGTCTGCAGGGTGTGAGGCTGTCGCACTCAGACAAGACAACTCACCCCAGAAACAATGTTGTTGGATGCGCTGAAGACTGCAAGGACGTTCATCACCTCGCTGAAACATCCCGTCTCCTGACACGCTCACCGTAATGATTGCGAGGGCTGACAAGCACGTTGCTTGCATGATAGCGAGGCTGTGAATATTCATAGGTCACGTCTTGTCGACGAGGAGAGCTGCAGAAAGCGAATGTTAGAAAACAGACGAGCATTGAAAGAGTCTTACTACATGACAGGCTGCACCATGACTGCATTTCTGAAAGGAAAGTATGATGAGTTCAAAGTCATCAGTGTTTCAGAGAGAAAGTTTACCTTGCATTTGGCATGTGCGAGAAGCTGGTGTTCTTCAAGTTGATCTGATTGTAGGAGTACATGCTTGCAAAAAGGCAGGCTAGCAGATCTGAGTCAGACACTTGCAAACAAACGCTGGCAGGAAAACATTTTAAAGAAACAGCAAGGAATGCTCAGAGCTCGATCCTCTTTGTCCTCAAGCTGTCTCAAGTCGCCGATCTATCCCTCTGAGCAAGGGAGGCCTACACATATCTCCTGCTCCTCTTCTTGCCAGCATTCCTTCACGCGCGCATGGCTGCACGGACCGATGCCGGCACATGAATGCCCGTTGCGAGCCCTCGGAGGCAGGGGGCCTCGGCAGGGCGAGTGACCCGCGCGGAAACGCCGTGCTGCCATGGACACGAATGTTTAATAGGTACTCCTAGTAAATACTTCTGTCCCCGAAAGTCTTTAGAGTCAACTCTGAGGCGATCTCGATTGCGATGTCTTGATACCACTCGATAGGTTGAGGCAACGGCAGGACCTGCAACGATAACAATGGCTTCGATGGCTGCGATGGCTGCCATGGCTATCGTCAGCAGCGGTGGCATGCAAAGAAGCGAAGGAGATTACACGGCTTGAGAGCCCTTAGGCTCTGAAGATACTTGAAGCAATAAGATCGCCGGCTTGAAGGGAGGGGAGCGCAAGACAGCATGGCGAGCATGAAAGGTGTTTTCTCCAACGTGGAGCAATGGGGTTTCAGAGCACAGAACGAGCTTGCCATCAAGGACCTTCATTTCCAGCCTGTGATCAGCAAGTTGCAATCTATCTCTGAAGAATATGAGAAATTGAAATCTGACCATGAACGTCAGATGTTCGAGCAACTTGTTGGCCAGAAGAATGAAACTCAGAAGAACATTCTCAGCGCAGATGCAAATAAACGACAGTGTATCAAGTACCTGTCTGACTTCTTGGACATTTTTGAAGGGATAGTACGTGACGGAATACAAACAAGAAGAGATGCAGAGAAAAAATTCGCACAGAATCTATTAGAAACAATGCGTTCCGAGATGGATCATATTCTCTATGAAATGAGAATTGATGATAAAAGAAAACTCAACTTTGAGAGAGAAGAAAACAGAAAGAAACTGGAGGTTTGCAGAACAGCCATGGAAATGGATGTTGCAGCCAAAATGCTTCAACTTAAATCCGGCCTTGAAAGAAAGGTGTGTCTGGTCGACCTGTTGATGTTAAACAACTCACTATGATCTTTCTAGAATGTTGAAGAAATGGAGGCCATGAAGAATAAAATTGCCGAACTTCAGAGTGCATCAGATCGCGAGACACAAAGCCTGAAATTCAAGTTGAAAGAGGCAGATGAGAAAATCAAATTCTGCCTCATGGATAAAAAGATGTCTTTGTCAAAAATGGAAACAGAGATTGAAGATCTCAAATCGCAGATGAAAGAGCTGAAAGTAGAGAAGACAAATCTATTGAAACAAAAGCGGTCGACAGAGAGGTCGTTGAAGTCCCTGCAGGATGATAATAAGATTCTGAAGGAAGAATTGCAAACCCTTGAAGAGAAGCATGAGACTGAATTGGAAACTTACATGAACGATTTGAAGACAAGGGAGGATGAAATTGATGCTGAGCGAGAAAAATTGAAAGAAAAATCGAAATCCATGACAAAAGTAATGGAAAATTTAAGAAATGAACTCATTGAAATTACACAAGAAAGAGATGAACTCAAGGCACATAATGATCAGCTCATAACAGAATTACAAATAGCGGCATCCCAGCTTCAATCTAAAGTTTCTGAAATGCAAGATCAAGACAGAGAGAACAAATCTAGGATGTCACTTCTGGAAAATGAAATTTCCAATCTCCGTGTGAAAGAAGAAAAATCGTCTGAAGAATTAGCGCAGATGAAAGCCAGAATGCTGAGTCATACGCAATCCATGACGCAAATTCAACAAGAATTAGATTCGTTCGCTGAAGAAAAAGCCAGCATCACAACGCAGCTAGGCAATGTTCAGAAAGATTTGAAAACTTGGATTCATGACTTAAATTGCCTTGAAACAGGAAGAGAAGCAGACATTGACCTCACAGGTTCGCTAGAAGAGTTGGGAGACGATCTGAGCATCGAATCAAATGTCTGGATGACGCTGAAAGACATTGGACGTGGCGCCTTTGACGGCAAATATTACAAGTCATCAATCAGAAGCAATGTAATTTCAAAGTTGAGCAATGCTATGGAGAAGAAAAGTATGTCAGTACCTGTTGTAACGAAATCGACTCAAACAGATGGGGAAACAGGCAAATCAGAACAAATTGTGACCATGAATACAGCAGAAAATTTTAAAGGAAATACAAAAGGAATCCAGGAAGAAAAAGCAGTTCAGACAGAGGTTCTGGATACCACGACAGCACATTTCACTGGACACAAAGTTTCAGTGATTCACGAGGAAAAATTTGTTCAAACCGAAAATGGCAAAGCAAATAAGTTTTCTGGGGCTAAGGCAGAAGTTGGATACCATCTGGCTGATTGCCAGAGTTTTGACAGAGAAAGCCAGACGTCAGGAGAGATCTACTTGAAGGAATCAGTCAATGAGACTGGCAGGAAAATCCAACGGCAGATTGCAGAACCTCAAAATTCAGAACTGAAGGAGACAGAAGGCTTCCTCTTGCACACCTCTTCGACAGTCAAGACAGGAAAAGATGATTCATCAATTGATAAAGAACACAATGGTATTGGCCAAAATGGTTCAGATTTGTTAAGAGAGCAGCTGGAGCAAATGAAGGAAGAAAATTTGGAATTGAAAAAGAAGCTGAAAGACCATGACAAGACTTACAATGAAGAAATTCAGAAATTTAAATCGGATTGGCAGACAAAATGCTTGTCTCTTGCCAAACGGCTCGAGCTAGCCGAAGAAAGCTTGACACGGCCTCGTCAAGAGGACATGAAGAGAATCAAAGAGCTGGAAACACAAGTCAATTCTCTCATGAATGCCCTAGAAGAAGCTGCAAGAGTGAAGGCAGTGGATCGAAAAATGGAGAACAAAGAAATGACGAGGAGAGTCAAGACAAGCATGGGGCATATAAACGGTGACGACATCGGAGAGCACCAGACTTCTGGTAGACGTTCAGTCAATTCTCTAGATCGAAAATTGTATCAGTATTCGCAAACCGCTCGATCTACAAAACTCTCTTCGAGATGAGACGAGCTGATGGAGATTAGCTGGAATAAAGCTTTATTGCAGTGTAAATATATGACTAGAGGGTGAGAAGAATGAATATATCACACTTTCCTTCCTTTGGGACTCGGTTTGTTTTTCTGCCTCGCGCTTGTTCGGAGGACTCTGTTCCTCTTGACTTTTTCTCTCTGTCCTTTCAAATGTTCTGCACCATTTCCCATGATTGAACAGAGCCCATCTTGACGCTTCGTCTTCAGAAAGAGAAGTGTGCACCCCAAGCCAGGGGTTGTTCATCATTATGTTGTGGGTGAGGGGAAGGATAGAACGCAATTTGGCTGGAGCCTTCAACTCAGGCTCGAGCACGGTGCTCTTGTCACGCTCCAAGCTCCAGTTGATACAAGCAAGTCCTTCAATGACCTTCATGATCCGCATCGATCTCCAATATTGCCTTGTCGTGGAATATCGGAATATATTTTCCTGGACAGGTATTGGTATCATTTCAATCAGATTCTGTTTTGTTATTCCCAACAACTTGCAGTGCGTTGAAGCTATAACTGTGCATGTGCGAGTTACATCATTAAAGATTTCTACTTCCCCAAAGTATTCCCCACTTTTCACCCTTCCGATCTCAAAGTATTTACATGTCTGTGCGACAATTGTTCTCTGAGCCTTGGATTTTAGAACACTTGGTGAAAGAGTGGAAGATAATGAATCATTTTCAGATGTACTCGCTTGTCCATATTTCACAAGGTCGAGCCGCTTCACAATTTCGAGTTCCCCTTCCCAGACAAAAAACAGCCTTTTAGCCTCATCTTGCTGTTTGTAAACAATCGACCCCTCTTTGTATTGCAATTTTTCAAAGCAAATGAGAATCTTTTTCAATGATTCGTGAGAAATGCACTGAAGTAACGAAATTTTGGATTTGAGAAACTCAAATTTCTTTTTCTCTTCTTCTAGATTCCATCGTATGATCAGTTCATCAAGCTCTGTTCTCTGAAAGTAGATGCTCTCTGCTGTTTCAGATTGGATAACAGCTGTCACGGATCTTAAGCAATTCTCATCCAAGTGAAGAGAGTCTCCTACTGTCTCCATCTCGACTGCGACTGAAAACAGAGATGACTCCCCTTCTCCATGTGTTCGCATGAGATTGCACTTCCCTGAGAGTAAGATGTAAACAGCATCAGGCTCATCCTGCTGACTGAAAACGATGTCGTCTCGTCTAAACACTTTGTATCGTGCAATCATCAGTAGTTGTTTTGTTTGTTCTTCACTAAATCGACTGAAAAACTTGATCCGATGAACCTGATTGGTTGGTCTTAAAGAACTTTCAAAAGCGCAATAGTTCTTACCCAAGGGAGCAAGGCATCAATATCTGTTCGAAACCCTGTGTCGATTTGACTTCAGTCAGGTTGTCAACAGCATTGCAAAACAAGCAGAGCCATACTGTATTCTCTTCCCTTCTTGACAAATTTTATGAATTTCTCTTTCGATTCCTGATATTCTCGTTAGAATCTTGCAGGAGAGATACAGTCTACGAGCATACTGCGCTGCCGAACAAGAATGAGACTTTGTAGGTGAACGCCGCCTTTCTCCCTGCCTTCTGGAACAATGCTTTGGTTCGAGATATCGTTGGTGACGCCCCAGCTGTTGCAAGCTTGACTTCTCCTGACTGATCCTGTGGCACCAGTTGAGAAGAAGTTCACTACAACCGCATCAGCAATACACTACCATCGTTGTCATTGCGGTCCTCCAGAAACGTGCGCCCCAGGCTTCGACTCTCGTCTGTTCCCGTCACGGCGATGCCATACCACTGCCTACTGCCTCCCTTCACTCCCTTGGTTCCGTTGACGCCAAACGCATACTCGCCCCACCGGGCGCACTGACTCAGTGAGTAGGCCCGCCCCCCGCGAGGCGCCGGCTGTCTCGAGTCACAATGCCCGGCCAGTTGGACCCGTCACTGGCTGGCGACTCGCTGAGTCGGCGAGTGAGCGGCCGCGGGCCGCGCACCTCGAATTGTGAGAGTCAGTCGCCCCGCAAACTTGACAGGCCCAGTGGATGATCCGGGATGGTAGTTGAGTGAAAGAGGTTCATCTTGGCCGGGCCGACGCCAAGATGCCATGATGGCCCGGCCGGGCCCGCCGGCGGCGGACTCCCGGCCCTCCGAGCCATTAAGAGACAGTGATTACTCACAATCTTTAACTTAACTTTGAGTAAAGATTTGTAAATCACAAGGCTCCTCTACGATTGTACGGTCCTCGTAATGATTTTTAACTCACTATTGACTCATGTCGACCGCAACTTCCGCCTCCGCGAAGGCAATGCACGGCAGACGGCAACTGTCTTCTCAGCCGCAGCCAACATGCTCTGTCCTTCCATTTTACCTCACTGGAGAAGGTGCAGGCAAATTCTACACCATGAAATCTTGTTTTGATGACGCTGCTGCTGGACATATAAGAGGGAAAAATCCTGGTTGTACGTACTCTGGTGTGATGGGTTCATCAAAACGTTTCACAGTCAGCGGAGGACTAGCAGGCATTGGTGATAAATCCCACTTCACTCAGCTTGCAGGTCAAAATGCGATGTTGAGGGACATAAGAACCTGGCCTAATCACAAACGAACTGTGGGACCTGTGGTTGGTTCGGACGGTTCATTTCATAGGAGCAAGGTAATCTTGATTATGTACTCGTGGACATGATCTAAAACTGAGAAACTCACACTCGTTTGTAAGCAGGGGCGTCTAGATAAATGGCCTACGGGAGCTGGAAGTGGAACAGATCAGTTTTACTTGCTGCCATCTAGTTTTGCACGGTCTTCGAAGGCGATAAAAAGGCCAAGCAGTTACATGGGTACAAGCAGCCGATTTTAGTTTTATTGCTATTTCAAGGATACGAGTTATCAACAGTTGGATGATTGTGAACGTGCGAACTTTACTTGATTGTTTGCACGCGATCATTAGTTCGCAGCATACCAGACAAGAACAGTGAGAACCGATAGAGTACATAATGTGAGTGGGAATCTCGATGAATGATGCTTAGAAGGTGAAGAGCTAGCAGCTGATCCTATTCATACAGCAGTCAGAAAACCTGACATCTGAGCATCTAAGGCACTTACCACGGGTGATCAAGTTGCATGAGCTTTGAACTTCGTTACCAGTTTTTGTCTGTACACCAGATACTTGACTGTACATAAAACAAACCTGATGATTCGCATTAGCCTGATATACCTCCGAGCATTTCTCTGTAGCAAAGCATTACCGCGGGTCTCCCTTCAATTTCCGGTAAGCCAGTTACAGATGTTGGGTAGATAACTGGGCCTCCTGATACTCCTGCGTTTTGCAATCACTATGTCCCAAACAAGTGTAACAATCTACAGACCTGCAATTGAGTATGGACACTCATTGATTGAGATTCCTTCTTTTTCGACACACGTTGGATTGCTGATGTATGTGATGGTGCCCACCTTCACATGCTTCAGTACATTGAGAATTAAATGCTTCAAGACCACCTTTTCGTTGCATCCACCTTGACTTGTCAGAGCGCATATTCGTTGCAGTGCCCCTGTACATACATATCAATACTATTGCTATGCAACACAACAACTTGCAGAAGATATTTGACCTGCATTTCCACCCTTACAGTTGCACGCATCTTGAATAAAAATCCATGTATCGTTTTCATGCCGCCATGCATTTCTGTAGAATGACGATATTCCAGCACTATTGCTCACAGTATCCTGAATTTCAAGTGAGGAAATGTTTTCTGTTACGTTGTTAAATGGTACCTGCCAATCATATTGGTGGCAAACGTCTCCCCAAAGAAACGGGCTTTGTGTGGGCAATTGAAAATTGGAGAAGGTAATCGGTTCGGTCTCTTTCCCATTTACATCTCGAGGTCTAATTCACAAAATGTAAATCACAATATGCCAGCATTAATTCTTGCCTCCAGTTTTGCCAGCTGTTATCGCTTGGATATCCTGGGGCAGATTTGAGAGCCCAATCCTTGTAAGAAATTTAGCATGTCTAGAGCAAAAGTCCCTGCGTATTCAAGACCTGGGTGACACCAGCAGGGCCGTAGGTCGTTGGACTGTATTTACAGTTTTGCGAAATAGCATCTGGAGTAGCTTGGATCTTTCAAAAGAGCGTCAGAATGGAGCAATCAAATTTAAGAAGGTGTCATCACCAACTTGCGGTATCTTGGAGTAGCCACCTCCGCTCCGTTGATCACTGCAATGTAATTCTGTCGCGTCCCAACAATCTTAGAAAGGAGCTTCCCTAACCAATTGCAACAAACATACCGCACTCCCCGGGCTCTGACAAATATCAAAGGTCCACGTGTAATAGTATGGAAATCTTACAAGACAATTCAGTAATCATACAGCGAGCGATAGAGACTATTACGGGCCCCTGCATGCATTCTTGACCGTACGATCTCCCTTCAACTCCACAAACTGATTCAAAACAGTCATCATGTAACAAGAAGAGAGGAACTTTGAGTGTGAACCTTGTAGGTAATTATCCAACTCCCTTGAATGTATGGAACCTGCGTCGTGCAGGGAAGTACATAGAAGATCGCAAGGAGCAGTGAAACAGCAACAGCGTGACTCTTCATTGCCAGCATTCAAATCTTGACGCTTCCAACCCGTGGACCTGAATTGAGAGCCAGAGACGGGTCCTCACACGAGCATACAGCCTCAACCTTGACGCATCACAACCCCTCCCATGACTCCCCTCCCCTCGCCATTTCTGCGTGAAGAGGTACAACACCGGTAGAAGCTGCTGCTGCCCTTATAAAAGAGCCTGGAAGGGTAGGGTGTCCCTCACTGCCCCAAGAGGTTAACATTTACTTTTACTCACCTGAACGTTCCTGGCCATGTTGCAGAACTGTAGCGTTAGTCGAAAATTTTGTTACACATCTGATACAAAAGGATTCTCGGCAATGCTCTTGAATCTCGGGTAGTGGGGGAGGAATGGCACGAGACAGTTGCAGTCAGGCACAGACAGCCATGCTTGAGACTGCACTGCACGTTGTGATTGGACGCGATCCTCCACTTCGAACAGGCAGCTTCATCGAGATTCATTGTCAAGAAGAGTAGCAAGGAGAGCGTATCTCGTCATTCGCACTCACTTTCCGGACCGCATGCAGAGATCACTAGAAACATTAACGGACACGCACAGCGATCACCCTGAAGATATAATCTTAGCCTACGTCTTCGTACTCTCACTATGCTCTTGCACGAGAGCAGCTGCGCTGAGGAAGTGAATCTGACAGTGACAGATCGATCTCATGGCAGACATCAAATTACGTGTAAAAGCTTTCTTCTTGTTCCTCCTGATAATGGCAAACATGGAAGATGGAAGTGATAAAGTGTTGTGTACTGCAATGACTCACACGCATATGGAGAACGAACTTAAGTTAGCTGGAAATGCCGTGAGATCGTCCTCTCTTTGCGTAAACACCATCAGAAATGAAACCTTGCAACCCCTACTGGCACAAGCGAATCAGAGCGGATCTGAAGTTCGGCACACTCAGTCTGAAAATAGAAATCATGCTGAATTGAATCTGACGATTCCATCACAATTCAGGAACATAAGATCTGCCCTGAATTTTATCCGAAAAAACAATCTGTCGTCGAAGGGCATTTCTATCCAAATTTGTGAATCAGTACCGGACGGTCTTTTCGAACTAGTGCAGAAAATTCTACGCTTCAGATGTAAGGTCGATATTGCTTGCGTGAGACCGACCTTTATACGAGAAGGAACATGGAAGTTAGATACCAACAGTACTGGATCAGCTTTTGCTGTGAAGCTCTTTGATCGATTCGGATACACTGTGATCATTCGCGGAGGCCCCTGGACATTTGAGAATTGTGAGCTGAAGAACATCATGGGGGCGGCTATTCGGATGGAGGAGGCAGCGGTTTCAACTTTTATGGTTTGTGCAGTTGGGGGAGAGGTATGAATTACCTGAAATTAGTTCTTAATGTTGCAGACACTGACAATGGATGCTAGTGCGAAAGAGATGCCCAGGCCAGAGATGCATTCTGGCTCACCGACAGGGCAGATTGCTGTATCAAGGTTCAACTTGTGTTAGCATTCTCTGCGACGCTTGACTCGCCTCGTTCGTTAGGGTTGCACGATACAGTATTGCAGTTTTGTTGCTGTGGCATTGTGGAATTCAGCAGTTTCGACAATATCTGAATGTGCCATACGGCATGTCAGAGTTGCAGTAGACTTGAATGACGAGTCAAGAGCAGAGGTAAGATGGTTGAAAGGAGTAATTGAATGAACATGGTGCACCAAGGTCCGAGACTGCAAATTGGAATCTGTGTACAATGGAGCCTTCTGGACTTGGTTCGGACTGTTGGGTGGAATTGCTCTCGGCACTAATTCACTGGAAGGACCGTCGGAAATCAGAAGACAGACAGCGAGCTCGTGGTAGTTAAGAGCCGAATCTCATGCCTGATGTGGTAGACTAAATCAGATACGCTAACGAAGCCTCTGACAATCGTTTCCCTACAGGTGGGGCAATGGAAGACCCAAGAAAGTGGTGGATGAGGATAATGAAGTTCAACCCACGGCCAGTGCTGCGGTAACTTTTAACCATTCTCATGTTTGCCGCTTCCGCTGACGCCACCCTCGAGAACAACGAGGACGTGCGAGATGTACACTTGAGAATCTTGGAGGTGAAGCTCTGCTCTCAACTTGCACACATGCGCTGAAACAAAATCATCGTAGTTCGCCGCCGAATACCAGAAAGTTGTCAAGAGACAGCGTGCTCAGAAGGATGACGACAGCAGCACTCAAGGGTCGAATTCCTCAGGTACTTGAACTCCCCTTACTTTCAGTTCATATCGCTTCAGATTTCGCCTCCTATGATGCACTCGTGCAATCCAACGAGCAGGTGAAGAACCGAATCAGAGCGAGGCATCGACTGACGTGCCATGCAGGAGGACTCGAAGGGAGATGTCGTTCCGGTGGTAACCGTTGGCACATGTCTGACCGGTCGCAACTGGTCATGTGAACCTGTTCATCAGGTGTCACCCTTCAAGGGGAGTCTGCAGAGGAACGAGTCAAAGCCGGAGGTCGCTCTCAAAATGTCGCTCGGTGGATGGCTCGAGCCAGTTTCAGTCGACCTTAAGGACGAGCGCCGTCTCCCTGCCTCCTCACCTGAAGGTAGCCGGAGCGAGTGGGAACTGAAGCAAGTGACGGGTGCAGGAGCAGCCAGACCGGAACGACGGTGGAGGATCAGCGGACGAAAGGCCAAGAGAGTCAAGTGAACTTGTGACTGTGATTGAAGCCCGTGCTGTGCGGTACTGGCTGCCGGTTTGTATTGATTTGATGATGAGTAAATGATAAAATTTAAAAAAGTTGAGCTTGTCACTGGAGGTCATGTTTTGACCAGTTTGACAAGATGCAGGGAGGAGTGGAAGAGCGGCGAGGGAGGGTGAAGATCTCGAGGGCTGAGGGGAGGAACTTTCCATGTAAGAGTCACATGGGAATGAAGAGCAAGCCCTCTCCCTACCTCACAGCCACTCTCAAGGGCGAGCAGAAGCGAACGCAACATGTCGACTCGACGTCTGACGCCACCTGGAAGGAAGAACTGTCCTGGGATGACGTTGGGCTGCAGAGAGGCGATTTCATCATCATAGAGGTGTACAGCAAGGGATGGAGCAAGATAGGACGAGACAAGAAGGTCGGATCTGTTGCCTACTGCCTCGATCCTTGCCTTGAGGCCTCACAGCGGCTTCAACTTCCGCTTGTTGCGCCCCCAAACGCAAGTTACGAAGAGGCTGGAAGCGTCAAGTTGACTGTGACTTTCATTGAGCATGACTCGCCATTCCCACCAGACCCGCAGGAATCGGAAGAAGTTCGAACTGACGATAGTCCTGAAGTCGGGGCGCTGGATGAGACCCTGAGGATGGAAATTCCTGGCAGCTTCCGACCAGGTCCGTTCCTCATCTACATCACCATCCATCAGGCTAGCAACCTCGTGCCAACGAGAGCCAACAAGACCGTGAGGCCTAGGGTCATGGTCAGGCTCGGTGATGACATGCAGACCCGCACGAGAGTCGCGCCCAGAAGCGGAGGAAGCGCCTTGTGGAACGAGACCTTCAACTTCAGCTGTCCGATCGACAAGTCGGTAGACCTACACCACAAGAAGATCACCCTAGACTGTGAGGATGTCTTGGAAGGGATCCAAGGGGTCCTTCATCGACCCGAACTCATCGGCAGTTTTGATGTCTCTCTCTCCTTCATCTACGCCTGCAAGAAACATGAGCTCGTACGGGAATGGGTGGCTCTTTTCGATCGAGGCAGCGTCGGGTCTGCTCGCGGAGTGCTTCTAGTCACGATAAGCATGTCAGGACCAGGAGAGACCTGCAGCATTCACGACAACCTCTTCGATGTTTCTTCTGAACCCGAATCCTCCAAACCCCCCTCCATCGGAATCTTGCCGGAGAGTGTGAGGCAGAAGGCAGTACGGCTGAGAGTGAACGTGCATAGAGCCGAGGGGTGAGTTTCTTGACCCTTACGTATCGCAACCATCGCGTTGACTTGAGCGTGATCAGGTTACCCCAGATGGACTTCACGGTCGGAACAGCTCTGAATCAGACCGCTGGGATTGACGCCTACGTGCGAGCTCGCATAGGAGGAGGCGCATGGATCAAGACAAGCGTGAAGAAGAGCAGAGATCCTGTCTTCAACCACTCTTTCATCATTCCAACTCTCTACCCTTCCTTCTGTGATGTCCTCGAGCTGCAGGTCATGGACCACGACCTGGCGGACGAGGACGACATGGTGGGTTGTCTTTTCTTCCATCTGTCCGCCTTTCAAGAAGCAGTCAGCGAGTTTCGTGTGCCCTCCTGGTACAACTTGTATGGCGCTCCCACCTCTACAGACAGCCTCCCTTCCTTGCCGGGACCCTTTGGCTCTCTTCGACGGAAGGCAGACGAGATGAACGAGGGGAAGACTGAAGGGTCCGCGTACAGAGGACGCATCCTTCTGTCCTTCTGCCTAGACGATCAGGTCGATTCCTCACAGCCTCTCAAGCCCTCAGCTGTCAACATAGCTCCTCTGCAGCATAAAATGCACCCTGAGATCTCAGAGCCCCTTGAGGTCCAGTACGGCTGTGTCGTTGACGTGTTGGAAGCAATGAACGTGAGCGTGACGGGGCCAGTCAGTTGTGAAGTTTGCTGCGGAAACCACATCATGACCACCAAGGCCAAGTCAGCGACTGCGAGCGCCGTGGAGTGGAACGAGAGTTTGAAAGGGGTGTTTGCATTCCCAAGGGTGACAGCCAGTTTCAACAGTCTTCCCGACCTGTTTGTCAGCCTCGCCTGCAAGGGCAAGAGGTTCTGTTACTTGAGGCTGAGAAATGAAGAAGCAAGAGCACGAGATACGCGATGGGTGGAGCTCGAGGAAGATCATTTCGGAGGGTTCCAAGCGCAGAGAGCAGGGAGAGTTCTGCTGCGATTTGCTGTGAACTTCGATGAGTTGTCAAAAGTGGACATGAAGCGCGATAGGATTGAGCCTTCATACACACGAGCGCGAGTCAAATATTACTTGCTGTGCAAACTTTACACAACAAGAGGGTTGAACGACAATCATCCTGCATCCCTGCCCGCTTCGACCTTCATCACAATCAGTTGTGCGGGAGTTTCCGCGAGTTCGACCGAGAAGAAGGGAAGATCCTGTGTGTTTCTAGAGGCTCTACAACTCGACGTCCTTCTCCCCGTCGATCTGCTGCATGCTCCTCCTCTGCTCATCAACTGCTGGAGAAAAAGTTCCAATCACAGTCAACTCATTGCCAGTCGAGCTGAGCTGAAGTTGTCCGAGCTGCGACCTGACGGAGAAGTTGGTTGGCTTTCCCTGCGTGCCGTGAACCAGGAGGACGGTTTGAAAGACCCAGCAGTGTTGGTTTCCCTTCATGTGAGTATCGTTTGCTTGGGTAGTAATGACCTCTTTCATAGTTGAGGCGAGCAGAAGAAGTCGCGCAAACCTCTCAAGTCGACCTTTCCATTGCGGGCTCAGGGGTAGGAGGAGAAGAGGATGGGCAGGTGCTGGCAGGTTTGGATTTGTCATTCCCGGCATGTCAACGATTCGACGTGTTGGTCTATGTCTATGGCCTGAGGAGGCTCACTTGCTCCAGGTTCATCCCAGGTGAGGAGCAAGAGCCTCGTGCTTGACGTGAAGCTTGTTCTCGTGCTTGACGTGAAGCTTGTTCTCTAGTCTCTTGCCCGTACCTCCAGCTCTCCGTCGGAGAAATTTCCTTAACAAGCGCCTCCTCCAGCAGCCCCTCACCTAGCGATCCAAACTTTCAACAGGTAATACGATCAATGCTTCCAAGTCATTGATGATTCATCCTCAGCTTTTCGTCTTGCGGGCTGTAGAGTTTTGCGGACTTTCCCTGTGCATGCCCAAGTTGGAGGTCGCAGTGAGAGACAAAGGAAACTTTCTTGTTCGCGAGCGAACGCTGGGATACGCTAGCATTGACCTGCTGGAGTTCTCTTGCTCAGTGCCGTTGGAGCAGCGGATGGAAGCGAGGAGGAATAGGATGGGACTGATGCATCAGGACATTCTTTCTTCGGACTGTGAAGAGCCCGAGCATGTCGATTTGATCTTTTCAAATTTCGGCGAGGAGGAAGAATTCTTGAAAGAGCGCAGAGTGTTGAACTTCGAGCTGGAGAAAGTCATTGACCTTTACATGTGAGCTTGGGTTAGAGGGTCGCTTCAAAAATCTCCTGATGTTGGGTTCAGGGACGAAGATCCATCCTTGTCGTACATGAGCCACTTTCCGCTCTTCCTATCAGTGAAGGACAGAGGGCCTGTTGTCTCCAGGCTATTTCAGGAAAGTACGGTAGACGTGCAGGCTGGAGTCATCAAAGCCTGCATCTCTGTCAAGGAACAATCAGCCGAGAGCGAAGCGCCTCCTCCCTTCATCCACGAGCTGCTCGAGGGCGAGAAAGATTTCATCGTGCGAATCTACATCCTCGGAGGCAGAAATCTCAGAGCAGCAGATCGGAACCACAAGTCTGATCCTTACCTGCGCGTCTCCTTGGGCAAGCATGTAGGCTCTCCGTCCTGCCTGTCCTATTGTCTCAGCTGTGATCACAGAGAGCTGGAGATCGAAAAAAGGCGAAACTCAAGAATCTCAACCCTGACTTCAGGCAAATGTTTGAGTTCAGCATGGTAACCAATCTACAAGGCCACCGGTGCTCGGAGTGACAACCCAGTCAGAGTCTCCCATGCGCCCACGAGTTATGCATCCAAGTGATGGACTCTGACCCGCTCTTTCTCGACGAGGAAATTGGCAGGCATTGTTTTTAGCCCGTGAAAGTCTCCTCAGCTGACATGCATGGCAGAACCTACGTAGATGTGGAGGAAAGGTTGCTTTCCAGAGTTTGGCAGCAACTCGGCGAGAATTCCATCTCAGAGCAGAGGAGAAAGCCGATAGAGCGAAGGTTGCGACGTCACCGTTGGGCCCGTCTGAGCCTTGAGCAGGAGGCTTCATCTACCCGGAGCTGATGGTGAGTGCGGTCAGCTGATTCTCTGGATCGACATTCTCCCATCTTCTCAAGTCAACTTGCATCCTCCATGGAGCATCGAGCTTCCTTCACCGTCACCTTTCGTGCTGCGGTTGTAGACTTGTCCGCTTTCCAAGCTTGTAACGCGTATCTCTCAGAGTTGTGATATGGCGAGTCAAGGGCGCCCCTTTCATGGATCCCGTCACGCGCCAGAACGACATGTTTGTGACTGGCAGGCTTGTGGGGCATGAAAAGTCGCGGGACAGAGCAACTGAGTTGCTGCAGGAAGGAATGGATCTCGAGCAGAACGTCTTTCAAGACGAAAGATCCACAGATGTGCATTGGAGGGCAAAGGGAGGGCGAGCAAACTTCAATCACCGGTGGAATTTCGTGGTACAGCTCCCTGCAGTGGACATGAGGCTTGTGATTCAGGTTTCTTCGCATCTTGAATGTCATTTCATCAAGTTGATCGCATGTTGAGCAGGCTTGGGATAAAGACATCCTGGCATCGAATGATCTGATCGGAGAGGGCGTGATCTCTTTGAAAGAGTTGATGCTGCTCAGCTATTCCCAGGGAAAGAAGCTCATGCGGGCAAGGTGTCTACCAGATAACGGAGGGACGCTGATTTGTGACGGTGAATGTTGCAGGTATACAGATATCAAAGCATCCAGCAATCCGACTCTTGCAGGAAGAACAGACTCAAGGGCTTTTCTGCGTATTAGACAAAAAGTCTTCGAGATGCTTGAGCAGGTCAGCCCTGTGACTTGAAATCTGCTTTTGTTGAAAGGCTCTTGCCGATTGTAGGGCAAGCAGAAAGATGAAATCATGCTCAACTTGGGAAGCTCGATATCGGAAGAAGAGCTCAATCGCATGATCGTTGACAAGGAAACCAAGAGTGCAAAGGGTTTCTGCCATACTTTGATCGACTCTCTTGGTGAGACATTCAATCAAAAAAGTTCTATTTGCGCTCTCTAAGAACTTTTAATCCTTGCAGCCGCTCTTGCTCGATACATCTGGTCTGTCACGACCGGGGACTTGCCAGTTTCGCCAAATCCTACTTCGAACTTGAAGCTACGGTGTCACTCTACCGGTCACTTCGCTTAATCTCATCTCCTTGGTCTGATTCATCTTGCAGGAGGCTGCGATTGCTTCGTAGAGCTAGAAATTGAGCTGATGCCGCAGGAGCTAGCCGATCGTTTCCCTGCTGGCGAGGGCCGTGAGGCTCCCAACGCTAACCCTTTCCTGCCTCCTCCGAGCAGGTTGCTTCTTGACTTGCTTTCTCCTTGTTGACTCGACGACACAGAGTCAAGCTAATGAACCTCATCCTTCGACCTGATCGACTCTTGTATGAGCTCTTGGGTCCTGAACTTTGCAGCAAGGTGAGTCGATTTCTGAGAGGATCACGTTCATCCACGTTGCAGGTTTGCATGCTTCTCTTCGTCATGACCTTCATCATCAGCCTCGTTCACACAGCCCCTCTCATCATGTCACAGTTCGCGACAGCCTCACAAATATCAAACTCCTTCAAAGGTTCAAACTGAATAATCGCCCTCGGGCTTTTTTGTTTCTATTTTCATTTGCTAGTACAAATGACAATAAAAAAACGCCTCTCTAAAATTTGGTGGTCAGCGATTCGGAGGATGGGGGTGGAGTGGGCTCTAACAAGGGGTTAAGGTCCGATAGGGGTTACAGGGGTTGTAGACAACACGTATGTATGGGATTTGAAAGGTGGGTGGGGTTATTCCGAGGAAGGTGAAATCCCTGCAAGCGAGCCGTAATCGAGAGGGTAGGGGTTGTTTACATACAGGGGGGTAGTTTCTAGGAGCGATTTACAGGAAGCCCGGTGGGGGTAGGGGTTGTTGACCATTTTTTTTTAGAGGCTCCAAGCAGGGGTAGACTTTCCATTAGTGCAGAGGGAAATGTGGGGGTGGTGAGGTGGTCAAATTTGGAAAGATTTGAGAGACCTCATGTCCCATTGGTTTCATGCCACCCCACCCCCGCGTAAACCTGAGGAAAAAGACCCCTCATGATGAAGAGATTCGCTCTCTCTATAATGGACTACAGTAACGGGGGTACGAGAGTAGTTGCGGATCAAAGATAAGGGGGTGATGTTAGGCAATTGCCGTGGGAAATGGTATGTGGGGTCAGTACCCACCCCTATGTTCCCTACTCGCGTCCGCATCCGCGAGCGTCGGTGCCCATGCTCTCTTTGTGCGCTTCCTGCGCTCATCAGCCTGCCTAGACTCCTTGCCCTTCTACAGGCCCCCCGAAACAGCTTCTGCTCCTGAATCGTTCTCTCCCTCATTTTTAATAACTCTATTTACTCTCATTTTTGGCCTCTTTCATTACATCAGTAACCCGTTGCTCATCAGCTGTACAGCTGTGTGGTAGGTTTGATTGAACAAATCTCTTTCCTGTCTGGCTATCAATCGCGTTGGGGAATAGAATTTCTCTCTTGTCATCAATATCAGGAGAATTGCATACATTTCACACGGTAACGATGATGGAGAATGACGACAAGCCCCACTGGAAAGCCACTCTGAGCTATGAGGAAGCTCGGGACATATATAGCAAGAGGCCTCAGGGCAAGTCAGATTCAGCTTTGATAATTTCGAGCACAGTGTTGAGCAACCGATACAAGATCAGTCCTAAGGCTGTGCGAGACATTTGGAACAAAAGGACTTGGATCAAAGCAACTCAGAGCATGTGGACAAGAGAAGAGTTCGAGACTTTTTTGGAAAAAGCCAGCAAGAAGCAATCCAAGAAGCCCGGCAGACCAGTAGGGGCGAAGGACTCGAAGCCTAGAAAGAAACGAAGCAACCACAGTGCAATGAATTGTCATACTTCGATGCATGTGGTTGTTAAGGAAGAGGCACAGCATTATGAGCAAGCGTCGTACCAGAGGATGGGTCAGCTTTCTTCTTCTTTGTCGCATCAGGATGAGTCCTCAAGCGCAGTGACTCTGGAAGGATACGTGGAAGACGAAACACAAAGGAAAAGTCACGACCAAGCTAATGGCTGCACTATCTGCGAAGCCATCCATATCTTCAGCGATGCTGATACTGAACAGCGCTCTCTTCAACATCATGGGCATATCATCGAGTTTTTGGACCACAGTCATCAGCAACAAGACATATTTGGCTATGGAGAAGATGCAGCCACCTCTGAAATTCGAAACGTGGACATTAACATTGGCTATCCCATCAATCTTGCGACAGAGTACGTTCCACTGCAAGAGATATGACTAAAATGTTGACTCGACAGCACTTTAGATCTGTCAGTGCAGAATGGTCATAAGAAGAGTCAGAAAACTTTATGTCGCCGTGCATCAATGATTGAGGCCGACACTTACTACTTGGGAAGAATCTTTTGAATGTCAATGCTGCTTTGGCATCACTTTGAGTCTATACCTGCTCAAAGATATTTCAGTAGCTCTTCGAAATGTTTGTGATTGAGAAATATTTATTGTGTTGAGGTTTGAGAGACCAAACCCTAATGTATTTAACTCGTTAATTTGATACATTTATTCCCAAAAACCTATACATGTTTTTGGTGTTCACCAACACAGCAGGATTGGGTCGTATACTTCGTAGTTTATCCTTGTATTCTTTGTTCAAGTTGTAATATTCTGCACCTGTTTGGAATCTTCAGATTTATGTCAGAGGCATATCACATGCAACCTTGGATCAGGAGATCAAGGTATCCCTCACTGGGTTGGATGTCCTTTCCAAATGGAGCTCGTAGAGGTCCAGGTTTTGTCCTAAGGGTGACCGCTTGCAGCTTGCTTCCTTGGTAGGTGTTGACAACTACCTCCTCGAGGCTGTAAGCCAACCCAACGCCTTCAGTCCGTGCCACCTTCTCCCAGTCCAGCCTTGAGAAATTCAGCACAAACTAGTCGCTATCAAACAGAACTCACCTTGTGAGGGTGAATAGCACACCGTGAAGTTCGTCGTCTTCTTTGTCACTGGGCTCAGCTGAAGCGAACGATGGTTCGATACCCTCGAGGAACTGGTGAGGCACGAGTAGCTCAACCGCAGAGCTTACGGGAGTACCCAGGAGATTGAAGGCCAACTTGTATTCCTTGACAAAGCCTGTGCATAGCAGAGCTGATCAAGAAGCAGGGTCGTTCACGCTTAGCTGACCTGGACAAGCCTTGATTGGCTTGACTTGGCGCAAACCCTGCAGCACACCAGGATTCATGTTGCTCCCGAAGGCAAAGTAGCGGACCCTTCCAAAACGAAGAATGTCGTCAGCCTTCCCCTTACACTGCAAGCAAGGCAAAACAGATGAAGGGCTCCTTCTCATCTTTACATTCAGATGCTGTTCCAGGCCAGTGTCCAGTCGATTGCCAGTGTACATGAAGGCGCTGTAGGTGTTGAGAAACAAGAGAGACGCGGTTTGCATCAGTTATCCTTCTCTCCAGCTTGCCAGCAGACGGAATTCTAGCAACGAAATATGTCAAAACTGTTACATGATCAACAACCAACCTAAGTTCACATGGCGATGTGAAATATACTAGGTTTCGAGACTCAAAGCAAAGCCTATTTTAACGTGAAAAGATACGTGTAGCCAAAGAAAGTGTCTGTTCCCCTCGTCCCATTGATACACAATCTCTCATCTCTAAGGAAGTCGATCTGCCGTGTGGAGATAGTGACCGCTGTGATGAATGTGTTTGGCTCTACAAGAGAGGTTGTGGCGGGATGACTGCGATGAAGCCCTACTGCGTGCCTGACTTCGCCTGCACACCTTCGACAAACTTGCCTGTCCTGTTTCTTTACTCAAAGTTAAGTTAAAAATCAGTACGACGACAATCACTGAGGAGAGCCTCGGATCGTGATCGCCGGGCCCGGGGGATGCCAGTAGCCTCAGCCTGAGCCGCCTGTGACTCTGACCCTCAGTACACGGTGAGCCCGCGGGGACTCAGCGGCCGGCGGCGGGCTTCAGTGTCGCCGACTAGTACTCGGAGGCCGTGCTTCAAGTTTTCTGACCGTACTCAGTGTAGTTGGGTTTCAAGTTTGGTTCTCGCTGTCTTTCGAGTCTCTTCTCGCCGTTTGGCCCGGGTGCGACAGTGGCCGTCGCTGAGGGCCTCCTCGTCTCTCCTGATTGTCCTCGTACTGCTTTTTAACTAACTTTGAGTAAAGGTAGTAAACCACGGTCATGATTCAATCACACCGGCGGCGGGCCCCGGTCTCAGAGTCTAGTCACTAGTAGTAGCGCAGTAAGTTCGGGCCAGCGGCGCGCGGCGGCCGGGACTCAGTCAGCCCGGGTTGGCATAGTTGAAAGTTCAGCGGGGAAGTTTCAACTCGGCCGTCACAGGCAAAGCGGCTTCGGAGCCTCGGCCCGGAGTGACAAGTCCGACGGTCACCGGGTCACCCGGTGCCAGCCCGGCGGGCGGCCGCCAAGATTGGACTCAGTGGAGGGCAATCATCAATTTCCAATCAACAAATTTTTGGAGTAATCATTTTCCAATCAACGAAAGTTTGCAGTAATCATTTTCCAATCAACTTTTTTTTGATGATTGCCCCTCAGTGGATTCCGCCGCGGCGCCGGGTCGGAACTTGACTGAAGGGGACGACCGGGCGGCACCCGGTGACCGACGGTGTTTTAAAACCAGTCACTGGCGGGCAATCATCAATTTCCAATCAACAAATTTTTGGAGTAATCATTTTCCAATCAACGAAAGTTTGCAGTAAT